ATGACGCAAGCGCGTAGGTACGCGGTGCGTGACGAGGAAGGGTATAAGAGTGACCGGCGGCGGCGCTCACCTCGCAGACGGAGCGGCGGCGGAGGCGGCGACGACGTGATCTTTCCCGGTGGGAGTGGAGCATTCCTCAAGGCACCGAGGAACCGCAGCCAACACCGGGCAACCGGCGCCCCCACAGGTACGCGCTTCCCTTCGACTGGTCGCCGCTTGTGAGGTGACCGGCGGCGCCCACAGTCTCGAGTGCGGAGCCGCAGGAGACACGGGTCACCCCGGAGGCGGAGCCTGTTACTGTAGGCCTCACTCCCTCGGCTGCTTCACTGTCTCTCTGAGCGTTTCCAGGGCACAACATGTCCGCCTCTCATTGTTTTGTAACCCTCCAATAATAATAGTAATAATAGTAATAATAATAATAATAGGGATCCTGGCCTCTGACACAGCGCCTCATCGTGTTATTGCAACGTGTCGAACAGTGTATGGGATGTATCGTAAAGTGGTTTGACAGTGTATTTTGTGGATGAAATGTAGAAAGGAAAGCTCCCAGGCAGGGGATTGCAGTCAGGTTGTTTGGGCGCAGGAGTTAATAACAACGGCAAAATGACATTTATAGAGAGCGCCTTTCATGTCGGGAGGACGTCCCAAGGCGCTGGACAGTCAGGGGTCAGGACCCGAGCATAGGGTCGAGGGTTGAGGGAAGGCAGAGAGGTGGGAGGGCGACTGAAGGCACGATCGAGGAGGACGGTCTTGAGATCGGCCTTGAAGGAGGCGAGGGAGGAGGTGAGGCGAAGGGACTGGTGGATGGAGTTCCAGGGTGTGGGGGCAGGGCTTCTGAAAGCCCGGCCACCGATGGTCGGGTAGGAGACGTGGAGCAGGCTGGAGCCCGCTGAATGGAGGGAGCGGGCAGGTTGGTAGCGAATCATCGGGTCAGAGAGGTAGGAGGGGACAGGGCCATAGATGGCCTTGAAAGTGAGGACAAGGATCTTGAATTCGATCCTCTGAGGGATCAGGAGCCAGTGGAGTCGGGCGAGGGTGGCAGTGATGGGGTCACGGAGCCTGGTGCGCGAGAGTACACGAGCTGCAGAGTTTTGGATGATCTGCAGCTTGTGAAGGGAAGAGTTGGGAATTTTCATAATCGAGCCTTGATGTGATGAATGCGTGGGTGAGGGTTTTGGCAGCCTGAGGATTGAGGCAGTGGCGGAGTCCGGCAGTGTTGTGGAGGTGGTGGTAGGCAGTGCCGGTCATGGCGCGGATGTGGGGGAGGAAGGACAGTTCAGGGTCAAACACGACACCCAGGTTCCTGACTGGCTTAGTGAGGTTGGATGTGCAGCCGTGGATGCTGATGCTGTCAGAACCTGAAGTGCGGAGGCGCTGGTGCAAGCCAATCAGGAGGGCCTCCGTCTTGCTGACGTTGAGTTGGAGAAAGTTGCCCCTCGTTCAGGACGATGTCGGACAGGCAGTCGATCAGTATGCCAATAGTCCTGGAGTTCAGGGTGGAGGCAGAGAGGTAGAGTTGGGTGTCATCCGCATTTACCCCATGTCTGTGGATGTTGTCACCAAGGGGGAGCATGTAGAGGGTGAAGAGGAGGAGACTGAGGACAGAGTCCTGAGGAACGTCGCACGAGATGATGCGGGGGCTAGAGGAGAAGCCGTTTGCAGAGACGAAGTGCAGGTGGTGTGAAAGGGAGGACCTGAACCAGTCAAGGACAGAACCTTGAAGGTTGAGGTGGGAGGAGAGGAGTGGTCCACAGTATCAAAGGTGACAGAGAGGACAAGGAGGCAGAGGGAGCCCTGGTCACACATGGTCAGGATGTGGGCAGCACGGAAACCCGATTGGAGGGGCTCATGGAGGGAGTTAGAGGAGAGTAAAGAGCGAAGCTGGGAGGCGATGGCTCTCTCAAGGACCTTAGACAGAAAAGGTAGGTGGGAGATGAGCTGGTAGCTGAATAGCTGTGATGGGTCAAGAGAATGTTTCTTCAAGGTGGGGGTAATAAGCTGTTTTGAGGGGGTTAAGAACAGTGCCAGATGACAGAGAAAGGTTGATGATGTTGGCGAGTAGTGGGGGGAGGTGGAGCTGGGATTTAAGGAGAGGGGTTGGGGATCGGGTCCACTGAGCAGGTGTTGAGCTTCTGAATAATAATAATCCTTGCATTTGATATTGTGCCTTATCACTTTGTTGCAATGTTTTAAAGTGCTTCATATAATATAAAGTGAATTGACTGTATTTTGTGAAATGTGGCAACTGATGGTGCACAACAGAGTCTCACAAGCAGTGAGTGATCAAAATATTATTGGCAGCTTTGTTCAATATTGAGGCATTCATTTGACAGATTGTTTGGACCATGGAAGCAAGGGAGAAGCAGACTTCAACTGGTGCCTTGTTGGCACTTGGGTTTCAGTCATGTGAAAATAATAATAATCCTTATGTGTGTGTGTGTGGTGAATATTTTTTGGCATTGTCTGCTTAAATCAAAATGCAGCTGTAAACTTCTTGTAAACCAAGTGAGCTGAATAGTGTGTGGATGTGTGTGTGAGTATGCCTTGAAACTCTGGAACACTTCCTCTATCTTGCCTCTTCCTTCCTCATCTTCAGATTGCACCTGATAACCTTCCTCTTTGACCGTGCCTATGATTCCCTCCCCCCGGCTTAGTGTTGTGTCAAGCACTCTGGGATGCTACCCTGAGTGTGGGGCGCTATATAAATGCAAGTTCTTATTGTGAGGGCGTTAAAGAGTATTACTCAATATATGGCATGTTAATGTTTATTTGTTTACATTTGAGATGTTGGTACCCATTGATGCTGGGTGTCCAGTTCTCCAATGTTATTGCTGTCTCATCGTTATAGAGAAACCCTCGTGCATTGGAAATTAGTCTTTTCTGTACTAACAGCCAGCTCTAAATTGAAGGGTACAGGAGGTAGTGTAAATTTGAGCAGATTGACCTTATCCCTGCATATGGCTGAAGGGCATTTGATAGTTGCCTGACTTTGTCCTCTGAGCAATTAATATTCCTGGCTCTTTGCAGATCTCTGGGTCCATGGCTTTTAGTTGGATATGTTATCTCAACTTGAGCTAGTGCAAAACAATGTTTTGTTGGGGGTGGGAAAGAGACTGAGAAAATGACCTAATTCCCATAATAGTTGTGACACAAGCTGTATTTAAGGTAAATCAGATTGTTTTTTTGTACATTCTTAATTGTAGATTTAGGTATTTTTGTGCATAAGATGGACCATTTTGCAAAGTGTGGTGGATCTGAAACTCCTTCATGTAAACATGGATCCTTCAGTAGATCTCTGCCATATTTGCAATCAACATGCTTATTCCTGTGGCATCTCCTGCACCAGATGGGGTGCATGTAAGCACACATAAGTATTTAGAGGTTTGAAAGTGAAGCCATTTGGCTTAAAATGGCTAAGAAAGAATGGCTGACTGATTCTTTAAGGTGATTTCTATAGAGGATCCTATAGAGCATGACTGAACAGCAGTCACTGTTGAAGTGAATGAAGGGGAATGCCTTTGTTTTGTTCTGGACTACTGCCTCTATTCTGTAAATTGATTTTTCTAACCCCTGTTTTATTTTTGATGAAGGATTTTGGAATGTTTTTTCTATTAGGATGCTGAATTGCTGAAATAAAAATGTGATTGAATGGGGAAATGTGTTGGGTGCGAAGGGCATATACACGATAAATCAGGAATTTAACTATCACCTGAACAAAGCTTGCAAGTACGTGTTGTGAACCATATATTTTGGCTTTATTGGGTCATTTCAGTACAGGAAATCGAACCTAGAATATGCCCATCTATAAAGTTCAGACCAGACGAGTCATCATGTAGTTCAAACCAACCTGCATTGTGTATTTTTCCATCAAACAGTTCCATTGAGTTTCAAAAGGAAGTGGTAGACATTTTAAGCTGTTTAGCTGTTAAGGGCTATAGTATCTTAAGTCAAAAGTGAGGCAAGGCTGTTCTTGTTTGTGCGTAATCTGACACTACCACCATGTTAAGGTGTCATTGGGGGTATAGTTGAAACTGGGATTCTCAAGACTAGAAACTTAAAACTATTTGGCGTCCCCATCTGTTGTGCTCTTACAGTGGCACTTGATTCTCTTGAAGTTGTAGTTCTTGTTCCTGTTCCTGTAGTTCCTGTTTCAAGACCTTCCTTTTCGACTGTGGCTTGGTCGTCTTCCCTCCTCCAAACCCCCTTGCCCTCCACCCCTCTTTGATCCAAACCTGCAGCTGGAGTGAAAACCTCTGAAACCAGCTTGTTGGGATGCCCTCCTGATATGAAAGGCACTATATAAATGCAATCTGTTCTTTTAAAAGTTTATCACTTTTTTGAAACCCAGTGAAACTCCTTAGTGGAAAAACACACAATGCTTGACAGTTTGACGTTGAATGTTTCAGTTACCAGGTAACTCACCTGACCTGATCTATATGGGTAGCAATATTCCGGATTTGATTCTCAGTCTGTGTTGAAATTTGTTAATCCCAGTAAAGGCAGCATACAATGCTTCAGTTTATAGAGAGGAACTTCAGCCATGGCAACAGGACCCAGAAACGCACTACCTCTTGAGCTCATTGCGATGCCAGACGTACTCACATGCAGGGACCACTATAACGGTAACCTGAACAAGGATGGGAGCAAAGTGTCTGTCTGATATTTGGGAACATTTTCTGACCCTTGACCCAATCCCTGCTTTGCCCAAAAAATTCTAATGGTTTGTGTATGCATAAATGTCATTGCAGTCATTGTGCAATTGGGTTAAGGTGGATGCTAAGGATCACAAAGCACGACGTAAAATGGAAAGGGGTTTCTCCTGGTGTCCTGGTCAACAATCCCCCGCCAAGTAATATTGGTCATTTTGTTTCAGGGCTGTTTTTGCAATTGGCCTGCTATATTCACCTACAAATGCATGCTCCACTTCACAGAAAATCCTGTGAAGAGCTTTACGATGTTCTTGTGACTTGAAAGGTGCTCTACCAAATGCTAGGGTCATTAAAGCGGAGAGGCCCCCGACTCTTGCAACCCATTAGTGTTTTAAGTTATTTGTAGTTCTATGTGGGAAAATTATTTGAGACAAAATACAGCCTGTTTTTCCTGTGTTTCAGTACATTTCCTGTACCGTGAACGCTGTGAAACTTACTATAAAATCTGACAAGGAAGAGGTATTAAAAATGAAGGAAACTGGAGTCTTCCTTATTTGTTCACCCTCGACTTGCGACACGGAATTGTGTGTGGCGAATGATCTTCGTTGAAAAGTGAGGACGTCAGCCACAGGAAGTAATTTCAAGTTATGGGCAGGGCTGTTAATTGGGATTGTCAAAGGAGAAATTTAAATGCATTCTTTGCAATGTAAATGAGGTGGTGATCATTAATGCCTGAATTACACCTGACAATACAAAGAAGAGTGGATGTGCAGAGGTCTGAAGGAAGCTCGCTTGTTCAGTATGCTTTCAAGAAGTAAAATCCCTTATTGGGGAGTTAACAAGGGGAGTGGCATGAATGGAATTTCCTGAATCATGCGCTTCTCGGCAGAAGGAAGAGATTTTATAAATAAAGGCTAAAGTTAGGTAAATTGTGCCGTGCCCAATTTCTAGAAATATTTCCCTGGTTTTACCCACGCCACCAACTCTACCTGACCCTTGTGTTCAACTGTTTCTCTTTAAACAAATTCAATGTTTCTAAGCTGTGCTGTGGCTTTTCTGATTTAACTGCACACGTTGGCTGAAACTGAAGTATAGAGGAACTTGAGCGATGCTTTTAAGTTCTAAGGACAGCGGTGCCAGGGATTCTAAGAGTGTGTAGTGAGCAACTCCTCAGGTTGAGAGGATGGTGCTGTGCCGCAATCATTTATTTCCGCTCTGTTGCTGAGTTAATGCTTCTTCTCTTCCTGTGTCTGACTGTCTGGTGTAAGTTATTCAACATAAATTTCACCCACAAAATACGCTGTCAATCCACTTTACAATATATTCTGTGAAGTGCTTTGAGACGTCTCAACAACGTGATAAGGTGCTGTATGAAATGCAAGGATTATTATTTTATTGTTAAATGGCATGAAATGCATTTCTTCCATAGAAATATTCTGACTAGTCCACTGGCCCTCAAACTCAGTGGTCCCTAGACTTTCAAGATATGTCAGAAATGTGCTAAGGAAACTTAGAGGAATTTCACTGTGATGAAGTACCTCTTTAAGGTTTCTATAGGAAAGGTGCTATGGAGATGTCAGTTTTGTGGCAAGCATTTTGAGACCTGAAATGGTGTGAAGAGACATGGTTGAGTTTGCTTTGAAAGAATAACTTAACCCAGGACAGAAAATTGCAGTTGTTAAATTGACCCAGCTCCCTTTTCTGTGTGGTTCTGACTGTATTCTGAAGACTTGGGAGTTGAGGGTGTGACCGTCTGCTAATCGTGTATGGCAGGTCTCCTTATCTCTTGAATGTCTTGTGTTTTCCAGTGAAGGCCAAGATGAACACATTAGGAGATCAGTGTGAAGGGCAAAGCACTGTCCAACCCAAGGATTCCTTGACAAGCTGTCTGCAGGCCCGGCATGACTTGGAGGCAGCCATTACCAGCATCATGCAAGCTGAGCAAGAGATCAAAACAAACACACATGAGGTAATAATAATTATAAGGAGAATGATACCAAGGGTAAAGGACTTCAGTGATGTGGAGAGACTAGGAAAGCTGGGATTGTTCTCAGAGCAGAGAAGGTTAAGGGGAGATTTAATAGAGGTGCGCAAAATCGAGGGGTTTTGATAAGTAAATATAGAGAAAATGTTTCTCCTGGTGGGTTGGTAACCAGAGGACACAGGTTTAAGATAATTGGCAAAAGAACTAGAGGGGAGATGAGGGGTAAACAATATTTACGTAGATCTGGAATACACTGCCTGAAAAGGTGGTGGAAGCAGATTCAATAATAACTTTCAAAAGGGAATTGGATATTTACTTGGAAAAAAGAGACATTTGCAAAGCTACATTGAAAGAGTGGGGGAGTGGGACTAATTGGATAGCTCTTTCAGAGATCCGGCATAGGTACGAAGGGCCGAATGGCCTCCTGTACAGTAGGATTCTAGAAGTATGTGCAGCTCAGAGCATCAACAGCCTGACTCATGTACACAAGGACTCCTTGAAAAATTGTTTTTATAATACTACAATCTTTTAGGTATTGCAAGAAGGGCTAACCTCCTAGGGAGGGATGGTGTTAAGTGTGGCTTATGTGCTAGGCAATGGAATTGAGTCAGCCCTCTGGTAGTCTAGTTCCTGAATCAAGTGAGTCTACAGTACTCGTAAGGCACTGCAAATGACAGACCATTCAAACCTGCTCGTCTGTAGGACTTGGGTGGGGCAGACGGTGACTGTAACCCTGCAAGCCAAAACCATAACAGATGGTAGGGTGGTCCTATCCGGACAAGCAATGGAAAGCTTGCCAGACGATGTTCTTAATAGCAAGCTACCTGAACTGGGGCATCCTCCTGACGTGAAAGGGGCTTTACAAATGTAATTTTGTTGTTTCTGTTTTTGAATTTGGTTGGATTTGCAATGCACACTCTGGAGTCCTCAAGTTTTGACTCTCCAACCTGGGCCAAACACTCACAGAATTAGGCAAGTAGGGTATCTAGCTCAAGGGAGAGAGTTTTCCTTCCATTCCAGGTGTGGAGAAATTTCCATGACATGCATGTGTGGATTTGGATCTGAGCGTAGAGGTGACTATCCACACGTGTCAGACACTTAGCTGACCAAACTGAAACCAAGAGGCTTATAAAAGCCCTGGGATAGGAGGTTACTAATGCTTAGCTTGCTTTTCTTGTGTTTCAGGTAAAGTCTCAGATTCATAGTTGCATCAGCCGTCACATGGAGTGCCTGCGCAGTAGGGAAGTGTGGCTCCTGGAGCAGATCGACCTCCTGAAACATCTCAAGGAGGAGTCGCTGCAACAACAGCTCCAGCAACTGTACTGGGTAAGGCTTCAGGCAGCCCTATCACCCCAACTTAGAGGAGTTTTGGGTGAGGCTTTCGAATCAGTGGTCGCTAAGCTTCATAGTTGGCCAACAATATTTCTTGATTGAATATTTCTTGATTTATGCTTTGCTTCAAGAAAATTAATTGTGGAGTCCTGTAGCGTATTGTTTAAAGCACTCACCTCACAAGCGAAAGGGTTTGATTCCTTGATTCAGGATGGAACCTTTGGCAAGTTTCCTTACTCCACATACCTCTGTTCACCTAGCAGTAAGTAGGAGCAGCCAATTCTGCTTAACAGTACTGTTTGTACTGTTGTCCTGGCCAACAAAGAGCCAGGTCTGACCAAATAATATCAGTCATTTGCTTCACTGCTTTTTGTACAATATTGCTGCACTTTAGAGTAAACCCTGTCAAGTGCCTAGGGTTTTTTGACAGTAATGAGGTGAAATATACAGATTATTTTACTTTACTGTTCTATTCCTTGTCGTGCTTGTGGTGGTTTCAGTGTATATCCTTTAGCCTTGCAATAAGACGGGCGGAAATATCTTGTCACCTTGAAACCCTGCCATTGGATACGACCTGTTCCTAATGTCAATTCCATGGTTCCCTTAATTTTCAAACCACTGAAATATACTGCTCACTTTAAATTGACTCATAGTTTCCTTTGTGTTTCTGTGAGTTGAGGGTGAGAGATATGAAATTTAAGGATTTAACGTTCATCTTTTGAGAGTTCAAAAGTTACAATGGCTTTTAAAAGAAGTTAAGCTCTTGTAATTTTTTTTTCTAATTTTTATTATTGTGAATAAGAATCAGTGGAATCCTGTCATCCATTGGTTAAGGCTTAGTTTAAGTGCCCCGGGATGCTACCCCGGATGAAGGGTACTATATAAATGCAAGTTGTTGTTGTACAGCTTCAAATCCACTTTGTCTGTTCGTGACTCGGTCTCTATGATGAATTGTTCTTTGTTTGTATTTGTGTTGAGTGGATCCACTAAGTGTCTTATTTTCCTTTCTCAGTTGCTGGGTCAGTTCAACTGCCTTATTCATCAACTGGAACATCCCCAGAATAACCTGTCGGTCAGTCAAATTACAGCCTGCCTGGAAAGGTAATCTACTTCCCACTGTGATAACATTGGCCACTCACTCTGTGACTGTTTTGTGGGACATTGCTGTGTGCAAATGGTTTGCTGGATGTTCCTACAAATACAGTCACTACACTTTTACAATTAATCCTGTGAAGTGCTTTTTTTTGCAATTTTTTGCAACAGTCTCTAATGTGTCATTTCTTCCATGTTTAGTTTTTATCAATTTCGTGAAAAAAATGTAGGTTAGCATTTAAAATGTGCCTCTCAATAGCGCCAATTAACTCCATTCAATTTTCTTCAAAACTTGTCAATTTTCTCTGCAACTTTTGGTGAAACTTTTCTATTGGTCCTGCTCATGATTTAAAAGGCGACATATTAAATTGCAATTGTTTCTTATTTAACTGCTGCTTTCAAGCTGCTGTAATTGAAATTTACTTGGGTGGTAACAGAAGGTGAGGAATCCTTCAGCTTCAGGTACCAATATCCTGAGGATCAGGCTGCGATCGAACAGTTTGCAGCAATTGCAGCTTAAAGATATTCAGCAACAATTATAGAAAAGTTCTTTTAAAAAAGAAATTTAAAAAATTGCATTTGAACTAAGTAGATTGGTATTAAATCCTGGTCTGCTGCTTACTCCCTCTCCGTGTGTCTCCCTACTTGGAGGGTGTTTAAGAGGTAACTTGATAAAGTTACACTATCTCACACTCCTCTGGGTTTCTGGCAAGGTATGATACAATAGAAATTTACATTTGTACAGCGCCTTTCATATCACGAGGACGTCCCAAAGTGCTTGATAGTATTGGCTGGGCATCCAAGTTGGGGGTGGTTGCTAAGGGAGTGTGAGGGGAAATGGCAAAAGTCACCAAAGGGCACAAATTTAAGATCACAAAAGGCAAGGTTAGAAAATACTTCTATATACAGTATATAGTTTGATCTTGAAAAGGAGGGGTTTTAAAGGGTGAGGGGGGGCAAGTGAAAGAATGGGGTTGAACGATGAGATGGCCCATATGAAAGAGAAGCACCAGTGCAGACTTGGTGTGATGGTCTCTACATTTTAGATTTTATAAGTATGCTTTTTGTAGGCTTTATGTAAGCAACCTCTCTGTAGAGGGATGGGTGGAGAAAACAGATTTAACATGAGCGGGTAATTTTGTGATAGTATTACTGAAATGTGAAGCGGACATCAACTTACTTGATCGTTAATTGTGTTCCAGACTCAATAGTCTGACCCTGAAGCCAGAGGAATCCCCAACCCTAAATTTTGAAGCAGATGTCCGTTCCCTCCGTCAAGCCATAACCACCTTTGGGACCATCCGAACCCTGGTAAGAGTTTTTCAATAAAGAAATGTTATAAGGCGGTTCAAAAGTACTGATTTGTCTTTTTACTGTGTGAAAGAGGGTTGACTAGATGTCTATCTACACATCCCACGTGTCATTCCAAGGCTCGTCTCAAGACACTCCTCTTCGATTGTGTCTTCAGTCACCCTCCTACCTCTCTGCCCTTCACTCTTCCTGATTCCAACCCCAGCTCGGGTACAAATCCTTGACTGTCCAGTGCCTTGGACATCCTCCTGACATGAAAGGTGCCATACAAATGTTATTTTTGGTTGTTGTCTGTGAGCTGGGCTGAGGAGTGTCTCGGTGTGAAAGGCGGAATGAGGCGTCTGGTTGTGAACCGGGAACGAGGAGTGTCTGGGTGTGAGATGATGTGATGAATCACCCCTGCTCTTGCCCTGAGGATACACACTCGACTCCCAAACGAGTTGATGAAAGAGGCTTTACTTTCCATTGTTTGCAGAATGACCTTGTGCCTTGGTCCTTCATCAATAACTGGTTTGTTTTATGCCGAAAAGAAAGCTTTGGGATTGTAGATTGAATGAGTCGCTTAACACCATTGAATCTGGCCTCACCTGACCTTCACAGACATGCACTTCAGCGAGGTTCTCTGGATATGAGAACATAGACTAGTTGGGAAGGGGGCAATTCAGTGCATTGTGTCATTCCATTGCTACATCGCCTTTAAATCACACTTCCCAGCTCATCCTCACATCCCTGAATGTTTTAAATAAGTCTTTATTCCGTACCCTTTTGAGTGTGAATCCTAATTGATTTTCCCACTCCCAAGCTTTGATCTTATATTGGAAGCCCAGCAAAGCAGCCTCACACCTAGTAAATGCCAACCCAAAACATGGAAGTAACTTAAGTGAGACTCTTAATGCTTTTGAATGGTATGAACCAAGCAGCTGAAGACATGTTTTTCTTGTATTTAGGGATCAGAGTCTGGACCCAGTGCAGCAGAAGAATTCAGTAACTGCTTTCTGACCTCCCTGACACAGGTAAGGAAGGGGTTTGATTCTCCAAGTTATTGACACCCGGGTTTCAATTCTGGAGAGAGCTCATTTTTGTTGTCTGGAGCCTTCAGTACTCCACTAAAACAATATAATAATCCTTGCATTTGATATAGTGCCTTATCATGTCCCTGAGGTGTCTCAAGGAGCTTCACAGAATATATTGTAAATTGGATTGACTATTTTGAGGGCGAAATGTAGCAACCATTTGTACACAATAGTGTCCCACAAACAGTCGTGGATTGAGTGACTGAAAGCAATCCACCAATCAACTAACTGGGTTCCTACTTGCTGCTAGGTAAACAGAGGCATGCGGAGTTGAGAAACGTGCCTAAGGTTTCACCCGGCCCAGGGAAAATGCAGGGCAAGAAGTTTTACTAAGAAGAGGAAAGGTGTTGGGAAGTGGCCTGTCTGCCTTGTACCAAAGCTGGGGAAGCTGCTGTAGTGTGTTCTTACTCTCTATAAATTTTCAATGTTCCTTTTTTTTATTCCTGCAGCGAACTTCACCTGGTGTGAAGGGATGTCCACTGTCTGATTGGCTGCTCAATAGCAAGTCGGGCAGCAGTCCTCACACCCCGAGGAACCAAAACCTTAGTCCTCAGGATTGTCTACTTAAGCATTCCAGCCAGGTGAGTACACACCGTGGAGCTTACTGTTCTCACAGACTCAGCTTGATTTTCAGCAGCCCTTTACTGTAGTTTTTTTAAAGTGTTTACTGTAGTGTCATCCCATAGTCCCTTCGCCTTGTCCCCTTCCTTGCCTCCTTCAAGGCCCTTCTCAGGACCCTCCTTTTTGATTGCACATTTAGCTGATCAGATTCGACCTACTGTTACTTCCCTCCCCCCACCCCTCCTGGTTCCAACCCCCAGCTCGGGTCCAAATCTCGAGTGTCTAGCGTCTTGGGATGTACTCCCAACATGAAAGGCGCTATACAGATGTCATTTGTTATTTTTCTCGGTGGTGGTGGTATTCTTACCTGACACAGGATTTGCCCCTAATCCTTTTGAAGAACTTACTTTTAATAAATGGTGTATATTCACTTATATACACAGCATTGTGTGTGTTTGATACGTGCATGTCTATAGTTCACAGCTCCCTGACCTAGGAGAAGCATTGAAATGCAGAGTGGGTGACTTAAAAGGCAACTGTTAATATATAATAATAATTAATACAAATCCTTGTATTTGGTTTAGAGCCTTTCACATCAGGAGATCATCCCAAAGTGCTTTAATGTGGCTGCATAAAGCAATGACTCATATTGCAATTACTGACCTAGTTAAGCTGAGGGAACAGTCCCACCTAATATAAAAGCAAACTGACATGAACTAGTATTGCCAGAGGATTCCCAATTTGTTTCCAGTTTCTATAAATTACTAACAGATAGCCAGGCTACAGATCTTACAGGGCAAGCTTGTCCAGACAAAATGCTCAGTTGACCTGTATTTTGCTCTGACTTTAGGATTGAGTATTTAACAGCCAACATTGGGTTGGAATTGGCAGATACAAAATATATTAATATTAGCAATTTGAGCAGTTTTTGAATTTTTTTTGGTCAGCTGGGTAACTGGCACATGTGGAAACCCAGCACCATGCTTACGGTTATCCAAACCAAACTGAGAATGCCATACATCCCACCTACACAAGGAAATCCCAGAGATACAATGTTGGAATGGAATGCGCACTCTCCCTGGAGGGATGCTTCCTGCGTACCTAAGTTCAGTGAGTATTAGGCGCAGTTTGGCAAGAGCCAAGGCTCGGGTTGAAATGGGTACTTCAGCCTATACTCTGCGTACAGTGAGGCAAAGATGACCCCAAAAAAAGGGAAAAAAACAAATATCAAAAATCAAAACAGGCTCGGGACCTCCGAGAAAAGGTTTAATTTTTCCCAAACATAACATTTTCCCAAACCTGACAACCCCCCACCATAAAATTTGGCTAATAAAGGGTACTCCAGAATTTATATTGGGGTAACTGCTGGAGTCTAACTAGTTAAACTATATTGCTTGCCATTGAGAGCACTGTCTGGCAATCTTGTGGAGTCCTGTAGCTCAGTGGTTAGAGCACTCGCTTTGCAAGCGAGAGACCTAAGTTCAATTCCAGGCAGGGCGAAACCTTGGGCAAGTTTCCTTACTCCACACACCTAATAATAATCCCTCCAAAAACAATAATTAAATTAGTCATTTTCAATCTACGACTGTTTGTGGGACATTGCTGTGCACAATTGGCTGCCGCATTCGCCCACAGATGTACAGTCAATTCACTTTGCAGTGTGTTCTGTGAAGCGCTTTAGGACGTCCTCCCGACGTGAAAAACGCTATATCAAATGCAAGGATTATTATTATATTATTATTATCTTTCCTGCTGCCTGACCAACCAGGACCACCCTACCCGTTAGGGCTTTTGCTGGAAGGGTTTTGAATTCTGTGTGTGGTGGGTTCACTTGTGGGAGGTTGGTACTGAGGTCTCTTGTGCTTCTATTAAGAATGTGCATCTGAAAATAACTGAAATATTTCACTTGGCTTTAGGGGGTTTCTTCAAATCAGCTCTCAACAGACCCAGACTACTTCAGATTGCAGGCTTGGGGGCATCGGCAAAGCCTTGAGCACTGGCTACTTCCCAGTCGACAGAAGAGTGGCCCAACTGAGAGCAGCAGTGTTCCTCAACGCACTAAACCCACCCCGACCTGCACCCAGAGTCCGAAAGATGTGGATCACTACAGAATGCAGTATCGACAGGACCTGAAGCACTGGCTGCTGCCCAACAAGCAGAAGAACGGCCTGACTGAGAACACCACTGCTCACCAATGCTCGAAGCCTACTTCAAGCTCTCTCCAGGTTGTGAATGAAGCCGACTACAGAATTCAGGCCTGGGGGCATCGACAGGGCCTGGAGCACTGGCTGCTGCCCAGCAAACAGAAGGCTGACAGCACCAACATATACACCACTGTTTGCCATCGCAGCGGGTCCTTAGCCAGCAGCTCCTCCACCTTTGAGGAGTTAGACATGGAGGTTTTGGAGCAGGAGGAAGCAGAACCCAAGGCCGCTGAAGAGCTGAGCCCAAGCTCCGGGAAAGTGAGTCTTGGTCACGTCACTGAGGACAGGTGGAAATCCCTAACTAAGCCTTTCACCGAGAAGTACAGCACCAGCGACTGGCTTGTGAAGAGTGAGTCTTGCGGGAGCTGCTGTGGAGCTCAGACTAAACCAGTTGAGATTGAGAACCTGAGCGTATTAAAGTGCTTGAGTGAACACCTCGGTACGAAAAAGTCACCTAGCGACGCCTGGCTCTCTCAGCAGCCGCCCATCCGGGTGGAAGAGGCCTGTAAAGCCAACGAGCCCTGCAGCAGCTTCTCGGAGTGCGTGTGCGGCCGGAGTTGCGAGAAGGAGGCGATCAATGAGTGGCTCCTGAAACAAGCCGGGAAGGATAAGAACGGTGTGGAGACCGGCCAGCCTGGCAAGAGCAACACCGAGCAACTGAGGGAGGAGTTAGACAAGTGGTTGCACCCCAATTCTAGATCCATTCAAGAAACCCAAATGCCCAAAAGCCAGGAGCTTCCCGAGTCTCCTCCAGTCAAGAATCCAATGAAAACCAGGAGCACAGAACTCGCGGCCTGGCTTGCACCAAGTTGCTCCCCTGTCGCTAAGAATGCAAACACTCCCTTCGGCAGTCCCATGAAGCTCGATAGACTGGGGACTTCCACAAACCTCAGCGAGAGCCCAGAGAAAGAAGCCGTATCCGAGGTGGAGAACAAATTTCTGCTGCTCAAGAAAGCTCAGGTTAGTCAGGTTCCGCACAGACTTGCAGATCACTCTGCTCAATATATAATTATCATAATAATAATCCTTGCATTTGTTATAGTATCTTATGATATCGACGTTTCAGAGTTTATTCATGGGATATACTGTAAAATGGAGTGACTGTGTATTTTGTAAGCCAAATGCAGCAGCCAGTTTGCACACATCAATGTCCTACAATCAGCCATGGAATGAATGACCAATTTTATTTGGGGGATTGTTAGCCAGGATACCAGAAGAGAGAATCTCCCTTCTCTTTTTGAATAGTGCCATGGGACTTTTGGTATCCACCTGAATAGATAGACATCAGTTTAACATTACATCCGAAAGTTGGCACATCTGACAATACAACAACCCTGCCCCCAGCATTATATTGGAGTGTCAGCTTAGACTACATGATACCAAGTCCTGGTGGGGGTGGGTGGGCTTAGATGCACAACTTTCTGACTCCGAGGCAAGAACATTACCACTATGCCAGGCTGTCACCTCCCTGAATTGACATTGTTAGGATAGTTCCTGTTTAAATGAAAAAGTTGCACAAAGATGGAGATTAAGTCATTGTTATATTGTGCCATCCCTTCAGACCACCTGGTCACAGGTTCCAATCCTGGTCTGTACTGAAATAACTGATCTCAGAACTGGGAGCCTTGCAGTTGGCCTCACGTGGAGATCATTTTAGCCAGGGTTCTGCCTCAGATCAGAGTTTATTACCTGCTCTTATTGCCAGGATTCCCAATCATTCTAGGTTTCAAAATTATTTTGTCCACTTGAAAGACAGTGAAATAGCCCTGACCAAGTATACTGAGGATGGGATAGGGGAAGAAGTTCCTGCAATGATTATAATAATCCCTGCATTTGGTATAGCACCTGATCATGTCAGAAGAACATTTCAAAGTGCTTTACAGGTTTTACTGTGAAATGGATTTATTGGTAGTTGAATTCATTTTATTAAATGAAATGGTATTTTATCAGTTTTTAGTGACTTGTTTCTCATTTGTTTGAACACAGGAGAACAGCATGTCTGACATGTCCAGTCTTCTTTCCAACTTGAAGCTATCTGTTGATCGTGAGAACCCTCTAAAGGTCAGTCTCTGTGTGGTTTGTCTGTGTGCTGTGAAGGACTGTCTGTGAGATGGTGGGGAACAACCGAAAGCATGGTCAAAGAGGAAGGTCTTGACGGAGCTTGAAAGAGGTGAGGGAGCAAGTCAGAGGGACTCCGGGATGGAGTTCCAGAGAGTGGGGGCAGATAGACTGAAAGCCTGACTGCTGATGTCACTTCCAGCCTGCTGCACGTATGCACATGAAACGCCACTGGTTTATAAAGATAGAAATGGCCTTGGTGTATCTAGTGTACAGGGGGTCACATCAAATGACCTGGGCTGACCCACCCATCCCCAGAATTCTACCTTCAAAGTGTTCTAGTTGTCAATTGCCCACTGTACAGAAATGGTCTCTGGCGTCTGTCCTAAAATTGAATCATTGCCCTCTTGTTTTGCTGGCTTGCTCAATCTGCAGGCATTGGTCTGGGTTTACCCTCTCTCCTATTTGTGAGTTATATACCTCCAGAAGGTCCTCTCCAAGGAGTTGAGGGAATTTCCTGCAGGCTCTTTATAAATGTGTGCGTTCTGTTTGAAATGTGGCTTCTGAGGTTATTGACACATCTCTGATCCATGAATGGTTTCTTTTCTCCATTTAGGATTTATCCAACCCGTCTAAAGAGAGAATTCTCTTTGCTCACTTGAGGCTGCCCTTTGATCCGGAGAAGTGGTTGTACAGAGGTCCTCATAGGGTTAGTTTTGTGGTTACTGTATAGCACCTGGTTGCACATAAATGTGAAACATTACTGGTGGGATTTATACTGGCTGCCCTGGGGCTGTCTGGGGGTGGGGAGTAATAATAATTGTAATACTTGCATTTCATACAGCATCTTATCAGCAGCTGATCGTGCCCAGCAGTGTCCCACAAACTGTTGTGGATTAAGTGACCAATTTGGTGGAGAGGCCACTTCCTGATCTTGCTATGGCTGCTGTGACTGCCTCATAGTCATTACCCTAGTCAGTAATTCTCTGAAGCATTTTGAGGTGCCTGCAGAACAAAAAAAGTCACTCAATCCACAACTTTCTGGGACACTGCTGTGCACAAATGGCTGCTGAGTTTCACCCACAAAATACAGTCAATACAGCACCTTGGGGTGTCCTCCTGACATGAAAGGCACTAAATAAATGTTGTTTTGGTATATTGTTGCTGTAACAAATGGATTATTGTAAGATTGCAAATGGGCACTAAGGGTTTGGATGAGCATGGTAGCATGATGCCTTTGAAGGGAGTGTCTCCTGGTGTCCTGGGAAATGATCTCCCAGATAAAATTGCTCATCGACTTGTGGGACACTCCTGTAAGCAAATTGGCTGCCACATTCACCTATAAAATAGTCTCTTTACAGTAGATCCAGTGAAGCTCTTTTAAAAGTCCTCCTGACATGATGGGTACATAATCAAATACATGTTTTTAATCACAATATCTGTTTATATACAGATTGAACAAGGTCCAATTGGAACTTTCATCCCTAAGGTCAACCATCTGTATTGATTGGGCGCAGCAACTGGACACGGATTCCAAAAGGTATCTATTGTGCAAAAGGTTTGCACAGGTGGGGAATGTTGATCATGTCCTGCAGTGTTATGGCTTTAGGATTGAGCTGCTGGCAGGAATTGAACCATTTACACAATGTTAGCAAATGTCTGCCTATTTACACATTATTATCAAATGCCTTGACTAAGATCAACTAATTTGGTGAAGGTCAAGGGGTTGATCCTGGTCTGTATGGTTCATTGGGCTGTCGGTTCTTGTTTTAATGTGTGGGATTTTTCTGCAGCAGAACACAGCGTGCACCTAATAGTTTAACCCTGGTGGGGTGTGTATAAGCAGGGTATCCTGGAGCTTAACTGGCTCAAGGTGACATGCTTGGCAACAGAATGTCAGAATCGAGCCAGCCCTCTGTAACAGTTTCTAATCCAGTTCTTGAGCCAGGCGGGAATGCAATATTCCAGGGCACTGCTGATGACAGCACAGCCAGCCTGGCTCATGGGCAAGACTTGGAGGGGGAGACCAGTTATCTCAGTCAGCTCCTGTTAACCCTGCAAGTCAAAACCTTGACTGGTAAGATGTTCCTAGCTGGACAAGCAGCAGGAAAGCTTGCCAGACAGCAATATCACCTAATAGTTTGTGCCTTTACCTTGTATTAATTTGTGTTTTTCTACTCCCTTGTAGCTTGGAGCCACCAGTGAAAAAANTGGTTGACCTGACTTTATTCTGTAGCTGCATCAGATGCAAACATTATGCCTTCTGATAAGATTCTGCTAAATCAATGTTTTGCTTCTGCTGTGAAGGTCAGTCTGTATTCAAATCACCTTGGGTGTGTTTTAAAGTTTGTGCTGTGAAACTGGAGTCATTGTCATGGAATCTTATATTCAAATGGCATCTCTTCCCCCACCCCTTCCCAACAGCCATGCCAATGCTCTTATTAAATCTATCCCACTGCTCAGAGTCATGACTGGGACAATAGCTTACCATTAAACCACTGTCAGTCAATACTTGCTCTGATTTCAGTGACTATTGATTCATGGTATAATGCTACATACTGTTGATCTGGGAGTCTATGCAGCCTCCTGTGCAATTCCTGTGGGGCTGTTCAGACTCCAAGTGGAGAAAACAATGCATTAATCTGTTCCAACACAGCACAGTAAACCTGTACGTAATGCCTCACGAGACCCATATTGGGAAGTTTTTTGGATTGCCCTGCTTGGGGTAGAAAAGAGGATAATTGTGATTCATTAAGTACCAGCAACAGTGTTCAAACTGCACAGCCTTTTATTTGTAGTGCGTGGACTGTCGGCCCCTTTTACATGCTTTGATCATTTTTTTCAGTGGGTGTTTATTGGAATGGCTCCCATCCCTTGGTGATGCATGTGTAATTCTGCTGTTATAGGACAAACTTACCAGTCTGTGTCCCAGTCAGAATCAATCTGGAAAGTCTTCAACACTGAACAGAGTGGTGGCATTTGTTGTAATTATTTTGCAGCTCAGTATGTCTGCAAAAGTGCACCTAATGCTACAAACAATATTTTCATCTGTTTGTTTGAGTTTGAAGTTCTTCGAGGTTTGATTCCTTAAACTGCCAGATACTGAATTTCTACAGAAGACATGAACACAATCCAGGTTACGATGGGTGTTAACACTAGATGTTGGAGTGTAGCACACTGGGTGGCTTAATGATTTGAAAATTCCTGCATGTTAGAACATAATTGCTAGATGAAAGACCAAGGTCTATCCTGGCAGTCACATGTGCACAGTCATGTCATTATTTAAATGAGTACCAGTGAATTGATGTACTGAGCTGATCTATCCTGAACAAGCAGATCTGAGGGGCCATGATTTATTTCACAACCCAATTATTGCTTTTAAGCCAATTTTTGCTTTTAAAATTCTTATAGAATTTCTCTTCCAATAACCACTGAATGTTTGGAATAACCACAAAACTATTGACTTGTTTTGATGAAATGTGCTTCCTGTCTTACTCTTTTAAATGTAACCTGGGATGTCTTCATTTTCACTGAAGCAAACTTGTCCTGTTGTAAACCTTTAAGTGTCCCTGTGGTCTCCAGCAGCATACTATTCAACTGAATGTGCTAGATTGTCAGTCATTGTAAACTGCTCATCAAACCAGTGACTTTGTGTGCAACTAAGTAATAGTTAGAACCAAGCTAGATAAGTCAGGTCAAGCTCTGAATGAGTGTTGGTGCTTTAATCCTATCTTGGTGTTCTAACAACCTTAAATTCAGTATCAAAAACTAGCCTGAGCTAAAGATCCTGTAGTAAAATTGAGATGCCACCTTCTCAGCACACACAAGGCCACTGGCAGACAGACTATCCCCAACTCGATTAATAAAACATTCAACTCACTATAGCAGTATATATACTATATAAAGTTGTAGGCTCTGAACCCAGGGTCAGGAGGGGATGCTGACTTCAGTTGTTTGCCTGTACAGTATTCAGTTATAATAATTAATAATCTGTTCATTAATTTGACCAATTATTACTTGTATCAAACTTAAGTAAATCAAGTTACAATGACTGTCCTTTGCTTGTTCTGTATTAAGCTGCCAGGAAGCTGCATATTTAACCAGCCTTGTTTAGGGAGATTAATTTCATTGTGAATTCAAATGTGTAATCTCAATAAACTGCTACAATAAAAAGGTGTCTGTTGTCCATGTTACTGCATTCAAATGAAAAATGTACCCAGGAACCAGGGGGTCTTGTTTGACCCTGAACTGTCCTTTCTCCCCCACATCCGCGCCATGACCGGTAGTGCCTACCACCACCTCCACAACATTGTCAGACTCTGCCACTGCCTCACCCACGCATTTCTCACATCAAGGCTCATTACCAGAACCCCATCAGCCTTCCCAACTCTTCCCTTCACAAGCTGCAGATCATCCAAAACTCTGCAGCTCGTGTACTCTCACGCACCAGGCTCCGTGACCCCATCACTCACACCTCGCCCGACTCCACTGGCTCCCCATCCCCCAGAGGATCAACTTCAAGATCCTCGTCCTCACCTTTAATGCCATTCAATGGCCCTGTCCCCTCCTACCTCCCTGACCTGCTGACTCCCTACGAACCTGTCCGCTCCCTCCGTTCATCGGGCTCCGGCCTGCTTAATGTCTCCCGCCCTACCATCAGTGGCCGGGCTTTCAGCCTCTCTGCCCCCCAAGGTCCCTTCTCCTCCCTTGCCTCCTTCAAGGCTGGTCTCAAGACACTTCTCTTCAACCGTGCCTTTGGTCTCCCTCCCACCTCTCTGCCTTCCCTCACCCCTACACCTGACTGTTTATCGCTTTGGGACGTCCTCCCGATGTGAAAGGCGCTCTATAAATGTAATTTTGTTGTGGGCTCAGGCACATATATACTGAATCGTTGAAATTCTGAGCAAAAAAACACTGGGCAACGTGTTAAACTTCAGATATTTGGTATTTAAACGGAGGCATAAAGGGTTCAGCAAAAGTTGACAAATTTCAGCTGTTTCAGGAACAAGAGACCCTTACTATCTGATTACACTGGACCTAATCATCTTTGTTTTTTTTCCATCAGAGGATTTATCAGACTGGTTTGTTCCCCAAATTATTTTACCCCCCCCAACCCTGCATCTAAACAGAACACATGTTAACTTGCTGCTGATCATAGCTGTTTTTGCAACAAAAGGAGAAGCTGCCAGATCAGCAAAGAAAGACACTGCAAAACAATTTCACATTCAACTCCCTGTAACCCCGTTGAAGCAACAAGTGGTTAATTTAATCATTAATTTGACCAAATATTAATCATTTCAAATTCAAGTAAATAAAGTTGCAATGAATGTCAAATAATATTTTAAAATATTTTGTCTTTCCCCCAACTCCTCATGAGTCTGTACATAGCTCTTCTTGACCACAAAAGTAAGCATAGCAGTGAAAATTTGCAGTTTCATACTACATTCCAATTTACACTTATATAATGTAAAAATCTTGGGTATTTGGTATCTTAAAAGTGATTTACAGCTCACTCAAGGAGACAACTGAATGCAGCAAGAAAATTTCAGTACCTTTGTGATGTTGGCAAAGATGATCAAGTTCTTCAGCCGAGGGAATGACTGCTTGCAGCTGATCAGCTTATATGAAAGGGCTTCGACTGGGCAAAGTCTCAAAAGACCTTGGTTTGGAAATGTTATGGCAGCTGTGCACACTTCCCTTACAGAAGTTGTATTTCACTCACCACATTTATAAATTCTCCCATGCCTCAATAATAATTCTCGCATTTGATATAACTCCTTATCACATGGTTGAGATATCTCAAAGCGCTTCACAGAATATATTGTAAATGGAATAACTATTTTGTGGGTGAAATGCAGCAACCAATTACACATAGCAATGTCTCACAAACTGTTGTGGATTCAGTGACCAGTTCTTTTTTTTTAAAAAAAGGATTATTGCCCCCAGAAAGCCATTAACCAACAACTGGGTTCCTTCCTACTCACTGCTAGATAAACAGAGGCAAGTAAGGAAACTTGTGTAAGGTTTTGCCCCACCCAGGAATTGAACCCAAGTCCTCTTGATTGCGATGCGAGCGCGCTAACCATTACACTATGGGACTCCATACCTGAAAATCAGGTTAGATCAAAATTAGATCGATTAAAAATAAACATAAAATCCACCAATAAGTTATAAATGTAAGCCACAGGTTCATTACACAATAAATATTCTCTTTATTCTGTGCTGCTCTGTCCTGTACAGTTTGAAACCAGATTTCTCAAATAGTTAAGTTAAAAACAACAAACAAAATGTTCACAAACAGAATTACTGTTCACAATTCTAAGGGGATGTTACCCTTCCCCTCTCAAATGCCTGGCACTATTGAAAGTGCTTGTCAGCATTTTTCTTGTTTATTTCCAAGATGACCCATAGGGAACCAGGTCATGCCAGGCATCCTGTAATGTTAAGCACCAACACAGCTCGTCAGATAGTGGCCTTCCCCCTCCACAATGTCCTGATAACGTGATTTATTCCTCCCAAACCTTTTTTCCTTACACAAAACATAGCCCAATCGTTACCAAACTTTGTCTGGTTTCTTCAATGTAATTCTAACATGCACATAATCGCTTCTCATTCCCACAATATTGTACAGTGGTCTTTAAGTATTTCACTTTATCACAATGTTAAGCATTATAAAAAGGACCAGCTTCATTAGGAAGGAACTGATAATCAAGGTGAGGGACACCAATAACAGAAATTAAATAAGGCTTGACCTCCATTTCAAGCACTTGCCAGAGGAACCCACTTTCAACCAAACCCTCCCTCCTGAGGGGTTAAGGTCCAAGTTGCAGAATAAGACTTTTACAGATGGCATTCGATTTTGAGAGAGAAAGGGAGAAATAGCACAAAGACAGACAGGGCAACTGCAGGCTTAAGAATGCATGCTTTTGCCACAGAGACACAGCAGGGAAAGACTTGTGGCCTATGGTTTACAAGATTCAGAAGTCACTGCCTGGAGGATTAATAAGCCATGGGAAAAAAATGTTTAAAGAATTTTTTTCAAAGAGGGCGAGACTATATGGAAGGACATCAGCATTCCGTGAGATAAGACGTGAAATTACAGTACTTTGATGGCCTGGAATATGCACCGAGTCTAATCCAGGCGTGTCCCTAAGGCCAATTCTGTACATCAGAAGTCATGAGACTTATTTTTATGCCAATGCTCTCTCCTGAAAGGCTGAGATGCCATCTATCTGCAGGCTGAGGAGGGGCATCACAGCTCATTTCAACCATTCTCATCCAACATATCAGGTTTCCACTAGGAAACATCAGATAATGATAGAGCAGGAAACTGGTTGATTTTTCTCCTCTGAGCCCAGGGGGCACTGCAGTCGATTGTAGTGGTCAGCTATCAACACAACTGGGATCTGGGCTGCTGCTGACTGATGCCATCTGTGGTCTGTCCTAATGTGTCACCTGATCATTCCTGTTTGTACAGTTTGTGTTTTTATATCCATTATGCTTAAAATTGGGGGAGGGGAGAGGCAAACAGGAAACAAACACTAGACATGGTATAACCCACATCAAAGTAGAAAATCTCTCACAATCCTGATACATCTACAGGCTGAGAGCTGGGATTTATTCCATTAGTTATAAAATCTTTTTATTTCCTCATTTAAGACCAAGTGGTCATTGGCTCCTCCAACTTTATTTAATGATCAGATTAATAATAATAATAAACGTTGCATTTGATATTCTGTCTTTTCAGGTCATTAATACATCTCAAAACCCTTCACAGGATTTACTGTAAAGTGGATTGAATGTGTATTTTGTGGGCAAAACCACACCTAGACCAGCAGACCAATAAAAGCAATTTAATCCAGATATCACCTGGCCAGTTTACTTTCTATTGCTAGAATTTGATGTTGTAATACAGCCTCTTATTACTGAGCTCTGAATTTAATCTGATTACTCAGTAAGAAGGTAGACAGCAGGGAAGAGGATGAAGCCACAGGACTCATGGTGTCTAGATAGGGCAGAACATGGCTGGGAACTTTTGGTGTGGGGGCAAAACTCTAGTCTAAAGATCTGACCACAGTACAGTCCAAGACTATGCCAGTAGAGGTAGCTAATAAGATGGATGGTCACTCTAGCAAACTCTAGAGCAATGGTTGCTAATCTTTTTGGTCGGCCAACCAAATAAATGTTCTTGATTCAATATTTCTTGATTTATGCCATAAAATTAAAATATGTTCAATCAAGAAAAAAAACAGCACACTATTGATTGACCACGGACTTACCTAGGCGAGCGCGAGAGTTCAGTGGGCCACTTCGTGACGGCCCCGCGGGTCACTGCTCTAGAGGCAACCCAAGATTCACTTTCCATTGAACCATCAATTGGGTTGTATTGTGTGAGGTCCCAGAGCTCTGACCTGTGGAACGTAAAGTCCCTGCTGGGCCTGTGGGTGAAGCTGGGCCCATCACCACTAGCAGATTAACATTTTATGACAATCATTGAAATACTGGGCATTCAATTTAGGACAGAAAAAACATAGCCAAAAAAACATATGAAATTAGATCAGACATGACAGTGGGAGGAGCTCAGGCCTCATCCACTGTACAACACATTCAAACACTCCCCTTTGCATCTTCCTGCACAACTCCCTTCAGAGTGAATTTCGCACCGACACACCCTTTATATGGTCCCAGTTGTTGTAGACTGAGTAAAGCCCAGTTAATGCAAGACCGATGAATCCTCCCCGAGCTGCTCCACGTAGTCCAGCTGGAATGAAGAGGAAAAATAACAGAGGTTACAGTGATGTCGACAGTGAAGGCATTCTTCTGCCTCCCACACCAAGCTCCGTGACCCTATCACCCCCATCCTCGCCCGGCTCCACTGGATCCCCATCCCCCAAAGTAGAGTTCAAAATTCTTATCCTTGCCTTGAAAGCCCTCCACAGACTTGCTCCTCCCTACCTCTATAATCTGCTAACTCCATATCAACCTGTCCGCTCCCTCCGCTCAGCGGGCTCTGGCCTGTCCGTGTCACCCGCCTTGCCCGTTTCACTATTCACTATCAGTGGTCAGGCCCTCAGCCTTTGGAACTCCATCCCACAGTCCCTTTGCCTTGCTCCCACCCTTGCCTCCTTCAAGGCACGTCTCAAGACCCTCCTCTTTGACCGTACCTTTGGTCGCCCGCCTATCCCAATTTTCCCTGCTCTCAACCCTCAGCTCGGGTACAAATCCTTAACTGTCCAGCACTTTGGGACGTCCTTCTAAATGTAATTTCTTGTTGCTCTCAAACAGCTGATTCCAAAGCTGGCAATTGTATACGTCAGAGATGTGTAGATGGCTTATAATGTAATCTCTCTCGGCGATCACTTAATAGAGTCAAACCTCAAGGAATACATGTATAGAAATTGTATCCAACTGCAAAAGTCTATCCTGGTGCATCCAAAATGTCAGCTGAGCCTGGAGCCCTCTTGCCTCTGAACCAGAAAGGAGTCAGGACTTACACTTTGCAGCCTAATGTAACAATAATTTAATATTCCTTGCATTTGATATATTGCCTTATCACATAGTTGAGACATTTCAAAGCACGTCACAGATTGATTGAGCGACCTTTTTTTTTAAACCAAAGGTGATTCACTCAGTAGCTTATATTTTGCCCACAAAATATACAATCAATTCACTTTATTCTTTATTCAGTGTCTTCTGTGAAGCATTTTGAGACGTCTCGAAGATGTGATAATGCGCTATATCAAATGCAAGGATTAGTATATCTGACCAACTGTCCCTGGTATATAAAGAGACCTCTGTATTACCATTAATCCAGTTCTTATGATGTCCTGAAATATTAACCTGTCCATTTTATTTACTGATCAATCTGTTGGCAACCCTAATTATTACCCACGGAAAGCGATCCACCAACCGACTAACAACTGGGTTCCTGCTAATTGCTAGGTAAACAAAGCCATTTGGAGGAAGGAAACTTGCCTAAGATTTTGCCCCACTTGAGAATCGAACCTGGATCCTCTCGCTTGTGAGGCGAGCCCACTAGCCACTATGCTACGGGACTCCATGTTATGGATATGGGAGGGAAGTCGGTATTTGCACAGTTATGCCTATTTCACGAAAGAGTCTTGCACAACCGAAGATGAATGAATCCCTGCTGTAGGTAAGAGCTGTCTGGATAAACTGTATATCAGTTACCCCTGGACTGGGTTGATAATGTGCGTGATGGGTTTACAATGTGAGCAGTGACCCTGAGAGGCTGGGCACTGTGTCAGCATATTCTGTTCCAGCAACACATCCAGCTGATGCGTGGACACATTCACACCCTCTCTATCTCACTAGTGCAAAAATAGATAGTAAGGTTGCACAACTTGCTTGCTGGTTGGTTAAGCGATACAAAGCGAACAATCCACGCCACAATGACACAAGAGCAACAGGCAAACTAATGACATGTAGGTTTGAACGGTGATAAACAAACAGTCACGTGGAAACTAACTGGCTGACAGCACACATTCCTGCTCATGCACACACTGCCTTCACTGCCACTGATAGCTTATCAGCACAGCCTGCACTAGGTGCATGTAGACACTCTTGGAAACATTTGCTTCAATAAGATCTGTAGCTATAAACTCGCTCCCATTCAGGGTAAACAAGAGCTTATCTATGAACAGCCTGTTATGTGAGTTTCACAATGATGGCCTCTGCACTGCTACATTTTTCAAAATACAAAATATTAATTTGAAAAATAATTAGCAATATTTGGCTACTCAATCCCCCACTGTTTGTGGGACAATGCTGTGCGTAATTGGCTGCCGAGTTTCCAGTCAAATTCACTTTACAATATATTCTGTGAAGCGTTTTGAGACGTCTCAACAACATGATAAGGTGCTATATCAAAAATAAGGATTTTTATATTATCATCAGTTTATAACCTTAGCCTTTTTAGTACTCACAATCTCAACTCCCTTCTCCATAAATTCAAACCTGAGTATCTCAACGACATAAGGCACTATATTGAATGCAAGGATTATTATTATTACTACAGCCTGGAGCCACTGTGACACAGTGGGGTTGTGCTGTTGCTCTTTTTCCTATCTCTCTCAAACATATCCCTGCATACATATCAGTTCAGATCCGAAAGACTATAAAACTCAATGTTATAACCCAGAGGCGGACTGACTTGAGGTAGATTTCCAGCACCTGCTCTTTTCTTTATTTAAGATTAACAACGAATGACCTATGATCAGATCACCTATGATCAACAACTTAGCCTTTCCTCCCTCTACCTTATTAGAAGGAATTACAGGAACAGAGCTGTGGCTGGGAGACAATACCGAGTTCAGAAGTGTAAGGGGGAAGAATTACCTCCAGAGGAATAGTGCAGTATTGGGGCTGGGACCTTTATAGCCACTTCTATTTGATCTATAAATAGGGCAGAACTAAACAACATATCAGCACTTAATAATAATCCTTGCATTCGACATAGCACCTTATCACGTCATTGAGATGTCTTAAAGCGCTTCCCAGAATATGCTGTGAAGTGGATTGACTGGTTTTGGGTGAAACGTTACACGCTGAGGACAGCAGCCAGAGCTGTGTGTTACCTGTTGATTTGTAGAGTAGACCAGTCATGGTTCCTGCTGCCATCGTGTTCAGATCGTCTTCTGCTCCTCGAACCTTTTCGATGACCACTCCAAACGCACTGTATAAGAGAGCTGTGTGGACACAGAGCACGTCAACCATACAGAGCGCATCAGCAATAGAGTGACGCCGAACACATTAGCCACACAGAGCCTCCAGATGAATTGGTCATTCACCTCCTGGCTATCTCTGGGAATCTCACTTCACTGTGTGCAAAATGGCTGCAAGGTTTGCCACAAAAATAAGTTGCAGGATTCGCAGTTACTGTAAAGGGCTTGATGTGTTTGCACAGGATAAGGCACCGTAAAAATGCAAGTTCCTTCTTTCAATACATAAATGAATACCGTACTTACCCAGGGAACCCAGTGTGTTGGCCCAGAGTGCGCCCTGCCTTGTGACCATGTTCAGAATCCTGGAAGAGACATTCAAACTCAGTTTTGAAGTTGCATTTTCAACATAAATAACACAAAGCCAAACAGGTTGTCCGCAAAGTCCTGTTATCCACCTGTTACAAAGCAGTGATTATGAGACTACAGAGGAGCTGAAACAAGCTGTCAGAGATGCATTTTGCCTCGTCACTCCATCCATGTTACAGAAGACGTCACACCGAACATGGCGATGGATCATTATCTGCCATGACAATGATGGCACTCATACACACTGATCCTCTGGACGTCTAAATACAGTTAGACACTTGTACTAACTACAATTAAGTGCTTCTAAGTACAATTACCATCATTCTTCCACATTTCAGTTGTTGGTCCGTACATTGTAGAAAAAAAACATGGGGTTAACAGGACTTTGTGGATACCGTATAGTTCAACTCCCCAAAGGCTTTCTATAGCCAGTGACAGAGCTAGAGTATTTAACTACAATCACATGAGCAAATGAACAGATTTAACCATCGATTATTGCTCCCATTGATATAAATTGCCACCTGACACCACGGTGGAGTCCCTCACAATTTAAAGTGTGTCTTGCAGTGAATGCAATTTGCATCATGTGCAATTAGTTCGGAGTCGGAGCTGTGTGTTTGTGGTTCTGTAACATACAAGGAATTAAAGATAATCCTTACATTTGATATAGTGCCTTCCATGTTAGGAGGATGTCTAAAAATACTTACAGCATAGTGACTCTATATTTTGTAGGCAAATGCAGTAGCCAATTTGCTCACAGCAATAATCCACAAACAGCCATGGAGCGAATGACCAATTTTATGTAATGGTTGTTGGCCAGGAAATCAGGAGAGAAAAACTCCCTTCTCTTTTTAAATAGTGCCATGGGATCTTTAACATCCTCCTGAACTGGCTGACAGGACTTCAGTACAATGCCCTCTGAAACCGCACTAGAGTGTCAGCATAAACAATAAGAGTCCAAAGCCCCACTTGGAACTTGAACCCACAATCGTTGACTGAAGAGACTGAGCCAGGCTGACACAATGCAATATAATAAGGGGCTGTAAACATAGCATACACATGCCTTGGGGCAGCCCAAGATCACAGCAAGCACACACCATGATGTAGGGAGGTTTGTTTGGAGATTTGTGCACATTGGGTGGATATGGCTATGAGTACACATTTGAACTGACGTTGTGGGAGGTGGGAGTTTCTGTACCTGCTGCCCTGCGCTCAATGCTTTATTCAGACCGATAACGTGGATTTCTCAGCTTGTGTTGAACCAGCTGCACAAATGGACAGAGATAACCCTGGGCCAGATAACCCTACTAAAGAAAGGTCCTGGCCAAGTGTTCAGGAAACTCTGGCAAGTCAACAACAAACCTGTGGAATGTTTTTGATTTTAGACGTCATGACACAGCGAATCCTTGGCCTTTTATTCATTTATTTATCATTTCACCACCACGCGACTCCTAATAAAACAATAGGACGAATATTCTACTGCTGTGTCGGACATTTCTATGGTTCTGGTTTCAAACCTCTCTCTTTCTGACTGTGCCTTTGGTCAACACCTTCACATTTTCCTTTCGTCTCTCATTGGTCTTCAATAAATTCCTATCTGGTGATGTACTGGAACATTATTTCACGTGATTTGGGGTGTCTATTTGTATTTATCGGCCACAAAATGCAGTCGATCCACTTTACAGCATATCCTGTGAAGCATTTTGAGACGTCTCAATGACGTGATAAAACATTATATCAAATGCAACGATTATTATTATTATTTCAGGTGATTTGGGATGCTTAAATTCTGAATCTAAAGAGCTTAGTGTATTTTTATTTTAATTCTCCTTCCTGACCAATGCTCACTTATCTCAGTAAAGTATTTTGAGATGTTTTTCCTACATGTTATATAATTGCAACTTGTTGTACCATAAGGCAGCTACACTTACCATGGCTGATAATGTGCACGTTAATCATCAGCTTGTGTTAAACCAGCTGTGTAATCATACCGAGATAAACCCTAGGGCAGAGCTGCAGGCTACCCTGACCAAGGAAAGGGCCAAGCAAGCGTTTAGGAATCTCTGGCAAGTGGGCACCACAGAACTGTGGTATGTTTCTGACTTTAGTAATCACAAGACAGAACAATCGAGGTCTGTCATTTCACTCACCGGCAGCAAGTATTAGTCTCCATGTGTATTTGACACTAAAAATGTGACACTTTCTCAGGCTTGGCGTGCCAACACTCTACTTGCCAGACTCCCCAAGGTCCTTGCACACAGACTGCTGCAGACTATCCAGAACTCTGCAGCTCGTGTCTTCTCCCACACTAAGCCCTGTGAGCCTATCACTCTCTTCTTCAATTAGCTCTACTGGCTCCCCGTTTCCCAGCAGATAGTTCAAAATCCTCTTTCTCGTGTTCAAACCCTTCAACAGTCTTGGCCCTCCCCCCTCTATGACCTCCTTCAGGTTCACTGACCCGGACGCTCCCTTCACTCTTTCCTTCATGCTCCAGCCCTATCCGTCCTCCCAAAGTGAAAGGCACTATATCAAATACAGAGATATTTTTATTACTATCTTTGGAAGCTCACTCACCACCGCATCTGCTTATCTATAGTAAGAGACTAGCGCCATCTACTGGCTCAACGAACCATCACACCATAGCGGAACAGTGACTTTCAGTTTCAGCAAGTGAGAGGGAACTGGTCCCAATTCCTTTGCACAAAGCAGACAGGTTTCACAAAAAAAATTGCCAACAATAAGATGATTGCAGATTTTGTTTTGATCAGCTGGGTGTCTGACACTTGCGGAGATCCATCACTAATGCTTAAGAATATCCAAACCAAACCAAGAATTCTATGGCGGGGGGGGGGGGGGGCGGCGGAGATTATTACCCCCAGAAAGCAATCCGCCAATCAGCAAACGACTGAGTTTCTACTTACTGCTAGGTAAACAGAGACGTGTGAAGTAAGGAAACTTGCCTAAGATTTCGCCCTGCCCGGAATCGAACCCGGTCATCTCGCTTGCGAGGTCAGCACGCTATGATTAATGTGCTATCTTAGAGTAAGAGAAGCTCCTAAAATCTCTGTACACCATACATAGCATTATCTCTAGCATTGAGATGGTTTCACACTGGGCTGTAGGAACTGGTCATTAAGATCAGTGTAGAGCATATCTGTGTAAATCTCAGATTAACTGAAATCCCCGGCTACGCATTGCATTACACTCGGGCACTCACTGAACGTTTCGAGGTTTTGACCAAGCCATGTCCTGGGTCTCCTTCAATCCCAGACGCAAGCCATTCACTGCACCGATACCAGCACCTGAAACACAGAACACAGTGTGACACAGAATAGCAAGTGCACTCAAAAGGTCTCTATTCAAAAGTCATACTTAAGGCTCAATGGAACATATTTTGGACAGATTGCAAATGGATCAGATTGAGCACTGTTTACTGGACTAATGTAATGTCTCCGTTTTCCCACATTGACAAACTGAGGTAAATTATACTGCAGGGGCAGCATTGAGCATCCCTGGATTCAAATTCAACTCACTTCACATCCTTATTCCTGAAATGGCTTTGATCCAGGTCCCTGAAGTCACAACGCTTCCCTTATCCCCATTCAGCATTCAACATTTCCTAACATGGAGGCTTTGACCAACCAGTTAATATACAGCAGTCATTTCTGCTCACGAGATAAGACTAATAAAAATAATCCTTGCATTTGATATAGTGCCTTATCACGTCGATCAAACGTCTCAAAGCACTTCACAGAATATATTGTAAAGAGGACTGACTTTATTTTGTGGGTGAAATGCAGCAGCCAATTGCGCATAGCAGTGTCCCACAAACAGTTGTGGATTGAGTGACCACATTTTTTATTTTGAAGGGATTGTGAGACACAAATTTAAGATAATTACAAAAAGACAGCAATGTCCCACAAACAGCCATGAAGTGAATGAACAATTTATTTTTTAATTTGGAGGAACTTGTTGGCCAGGACACTGGGAGAGAGAAACTCCCTTCGTTATTCGAAAAGCGCCACGGGATCTTAACACCTACCTGAACAGGCAGATGGGACCTCAGGTAAACATCTCATCCAAAGGATGACCACAGACCCCCACCACTGGATTGGAGTGTCATCTTAGAGTTCAAGTCTCTATGTGGGATTTAAACCCACGACCTTTTGACTCAGAAGCGAGAAAGCTCCCACTGAGCCAGGCTAACACACAAAAGCACCTTGGGATGTTCTCCCAATGCGAAAGGCACTGTATAGATGTAAATTGTATTGTATCCAGCACACTCCCAGCTGCAGCATAAGTTGGACACAGAGTAAAGCTCAAAGAGGCTGCTCATTTGGGCCTTACTCGGCACAGATTGATGACTGTTAAACCAAACCTACCAGTCATACAACAGCCACCAATGGTGAAAAATGCCAGTTCAAATCTGCCTCGAGTCTTATTGGCTCCAGTTGGTAATATAAACTCCTCCGTGTCCTGAAAGAGAGAGGCTGGAATCACTATGGATGTCATGAATAAACCCTTCCCAACATTTTTACACTGCAATCTTTACAACATTGTTTCAATGACAATCTAAAAAAATAACAGATTGGATCTCAAACACAATGAAATGCCACATAAATAGTATCAGTCGGGAGCATAACATTTAATATGATTTACGCAAAAGTCCAAGTTGCAGGCAAACTGTACAAAATCTAATTTAATCCATAATCTACACTGCATGTGTGTAATTCAATGCAGCTGGTAAGTGCACAAGTGTTGGCAGGTCAGGACATCATTTCCTGTGAGTCAATGCAGCTAGTAAGTGCAGCAGTGAAGGAGCGAAGGGGAGAGGAGTTACGAGTTAGAAGGTGATTAATATGAGTAGTGTAAAGAAATCTAAGTGGTTTTAATTGGACTTGGGTGGATGTATGACTTAGGATAAGATTTATGTGAGTTTTACTATAATAATAATTGAATTTGACGTCGGGCCTTATCGCACCATCGAGACGTCTCGAAGCACTTCACAGGATTTTACTTCAACTGCGTATTTATAGGAAAATGTATTTGTAGGAAAGCCTATATTCACTGAACTGCTTGTATTTCAACCTCAGCCAAAAAACCTGATCATAACTTCAGAGATTTAAAGAGGCTTTCATTTCTACTCACCTGAATCAGATACCTGGGATCAACGTTCAAATATGGAGACAAAGGACTCATCCCCGTCACTGCGAAGAGCAAAGCAAACTTTATGTTAATGGAAAAGTGCTACCGTCCCAGCAGATGGGCTTTTGCAGCAGTTCCTCTCAAGCATTAAAGCTCATCAGATATTTACAACAACATAATCTTTGCATTTGATATAGCACCTTATCACATTGTTGAGACATCTCAAAGCGATTCACAGAGTATATTCCAAATGAATTGATTGAATGTAGTGTCCCACAAACAGTCATGGATTGAATGACCAAATGTTAATTTTTTTTGGAGGGATTATTACGCCTGGAAAGAAATCCACCAATCGACTAACAACCAGGTTCCTACTTACTGCTAGGTAAAGAGGCGGGTGGGGTAAGGAAACTTGCCTAAAGTTTCGAGCTGCCCGGGAATCAAACCCAGGGCCTCTCACTTGCGAGGAGAGTGTGCTAACCACTATGCTATGGGGCTCCACAAACATCTCTCAGGATTCTCCTCACTGCTACAATCAAAATTTCTGAAGTTTGAAAGTTAGATACTTATCCATCTGTTGAAAAACATGTGGCAGACACAAATGAGGGGGTGATGGGGGAGGGGGGAAGAGGAAACAAATATGGTTCAAAGGGAAACACTATTACAGCTTTTCATTTCTTGCTCTGCTGTTATCGCTATAAAACATTTTATCCCAAATGAGTGAAAAGGATTTGTTATAACAGCTATTTTGGAAAACCTCCAAGAATAAGCATTTGAGCCGCGCTCAAGAGATTGAACAGCCACAAATCCATCATAGATAGATAGGCCATGGTACTGATGTGCAGGGCGAGGTTACACAAGGACACAGCAGGCTTAGGAGTAGGTACAGAGAAATCCTTCTACAATCACTCCCTACAGCATCATGGCTGTAACACAGCCATTAATCTCCACACAGAGCACGCCACTTGTTAATACAATAATAATAAAATATTAATAAGGTACAATGCTTTCCTGAATTCCATGCACTGTACTACACAGCGTCACTGCAGATTAGTTCATTTGGAACAAGTTGTACTTTTAACATTTCCAACACACTGAACACATTTGAGGAAAAATGGTACAATCACAAACCATTACATCATACAAAATACATTGCACAATTCAATGACACTGTTAGTTATGAAATACAGTAGCATGCTTGCCCAGGAGTGAACCTGTAGGAGTGGAGTCCTGTAGCTCAGTGGTTAGAGCGCTCGCCTTGCAAGTGGGACACCTGGGTTCAATTCCAGGCAGGGCAAAACCCTGGGAAAGTTTCCTTACTCCACACGCCTAATAATAATCCCTCCAAAAACCAAAACAATAATAAATTGGTCATTTTCAATCCACGACTGTTTGTGGGACAGTGCTGCGCGCAATCGGTTGCCGCGTTCGCCCACAAATATACAGTCAATTCATTTTACCGTATATTCTGTGAAGCGCTTTGAGACGTCGAGAAGACGTGAAAAGCACTATATCAAATGCAAGGATTATTATTATTATAACCTTGGTTCAGTCAGTAGCACTCTCGACTCTGTGTCAGAAGTGGGTTCAAGCTCCACATCAGCTTTTGAGCTCAGAATCCAAGCTGACCCACCAGTGCAATGCTCAGGGAGCTCTGCATTGGTAGAGGTGCCATGCTTCAGATGAGATGTTAAAGCAAGGTCCCGTCTGTCTGCACTGACATCATCATTATAGATGGATGCACACTCTACCTTACTAAGCCAGTATGGAACCTGGATGTCTTGTTCAATTCTCAAATGCCATTTAAACTACATATCCGTGCCTTGACCTGCTCAGCTTTTTCCCACCTTCACAACATTTCCTGCCTCTGCCACTACCTTTCTCTCGGGCAGCCGGGACCTTTATCCATGCTTTTATCATCTCCACAGTGGACTTTGCTAACTATGCTCGGCGGTCTTCCCAACTCTTCCCACCACAAGCTGTGGATTATTCAAAATTCTGCTGCTCTGTGTCCTCTCCCACACCAGGCACTGTGAACCTACCCACGCCCGAGTACATTGGCTCCCCCAAAGGATTGAGTTCGAGATCCTCGTCTTCACTTTTAAAGCCCTTCATGGTTTTGCCCCACCCTACTTTTCCGACCTTCTAAGAACTTACCAACCCACCATTTCAGCTCTGCAGGCACTAGCCTGCTCCACGTTCCCCACCCTTTCTGCCCCACCATCGGTGATGGCGCTTTTAGCCTTTCTGCCCCACCCTCTAGAACTTCACCTCTTCCCCGAACCTCCTTCAATATCCTTGTCAAGATCTCCCTTGTACACAGGGCTTTTGGTTATCTGTCCTCAGTCGTGCCCAGGAGTACTGTAGCTCAGTGGTTAGAGCACTCGCTTTGCAAGTGAGAGACCTGAGTTCAATTCCAGGCACAGGGCGAAACCTTGGGCAAGTTTCCTTACTCCACACAGAGCCTAATAATAATCCCTCCAAAACCAAAAACAATAATAAATTGGTCATTTTCAATCTACGACTGTTTGTGGGACATCGCTGTGCGCAATTGGCTGCCGCGTTCGCCCACAAATATACGGTCAATTCACTTTACAGTGCGTTCTGTGAAGCGCTTTGGGGCGTCCTCCCGACGTGAAAAGCGTTGTATCAAATGCAAGGATTATTATTATTATTACTATTATTACTGTGATCCTGGCTCGGGAAGAACTGGAGACGGTCACAAGAGATCGGACTCGATTTCGACAGTCTGTTGCCAAGCGGTTAGTCCAGTGAAACTGGTTCAGTGAAGCGCACTAACTGGTTGGCTGGGCACTTGGACCCGGTTAGCTCGTGTTGCTGAGTTACCGGGCGTTTGGTGAGGTGCGGCCTAGCTGTCAGGCTGCGCATGTTACTCACAGGGGACACTGGAGAGGTCAGCCTGCGAGTAGTCAGGCATTGAAGCCCCGCCGCTCCCTGCTCCTCCGCCGCCGCCGAACAGGCCGAAGCCGCTGCGGAACCCGCCGCCGCCGCCCGAATTGTCCATGTGGGTCACCTACAGCTCAACGTCAGCCGCCGCCGCCACCGCCGCTCCCTCAACCGCCTGCCGCCCGTGTCACTAGGCAACCGGCTACCGCAAACCGGTTGGGTGGGCTCAGCGCGACACTTTGCAGCGGCCAAACGGATCGCTCGGCACAATGCACTCTGCGTGCCCGTTGGCTGCTGCGTGACCACGTGGTGAGGATTTTGCCCCTCACACTCGCTCACCCGACGCCATGATTGTTGGGGGCAACGAGTTCATTTTGAATGGCAGAGATACCCAGTTGGGGCTCCAAGGTTGACACTCCTGGCCAAGGAGTGTCGGAATCGAGCCATCCCTCCGTGACCCTCTCCAGGCCGGTTCCTGAGCCAGGCGTGTCCGCAAACCGGTTGCAAACCAAGTCACTTTCATCGGCCAGACCTGGAAGGTCAGACCGGTCACTGGGGTCAGGGAGTCATCCCACTCAGCTGCCGTTAACCCTGCAATCCAAAGCCCTGATGGGTTGGGTGGTCGCAGCTGGACAAGCGGAGGGGGAAAGCTTGTCAGGCAGTATATGCGGTTTTAGCTGGTTAGATTCCAGCAGTTACCCCAACGTATACTCTAGGGTTTCCAAGCCTTTGGCGTTTGCACCCAGTAGTATCCCACAAAAGGCCATTAAGGACCAATTTTATCTGGGGGATTGTTGGCCTGGACACTGGGAGAAAATCCCTTCCCTTTTCCACCTGAACAGACTGACAGGACCTCGGTTTAACGCCTATTTTGAAGGATGGCACCCCCTGACAATCCGAGCTCGCCAAGTAATGCTGGCACATTGCAAGGGGAAAAACTCTTCAAAATAATGATTGGCAAATACAAAATGGATTCTTAATTCTTTTAATTCAGTTTGATGTAAAATATAAATATCGCAGTAAAATTATTTTAAAGGGTAGAATAAAGTGGGAAGGTAGAGGATCATAGAGGAGATAGATGGTGTTAAAATGCATTCTGTCCTGCAAACCTTTTTGGGAACAATATTTGAGGATGTAGGAATGAAGTCCTTATGAGATATTGTCAGCTTGCCTCTGGGTCAGAAGGTTGTCATTCAAGGTTGTGTTGAATATTCTGAGTTTGTTGTCCAGGCTGCTGTTCAGGTGCAGTGTTGGGCAAGTGCTTCATTGTTGTAGGTGCTGTCCTTCAGATGAGAAGCTAAATGTTCAAGTGGACAGTCCATGGTGGGGTGGGGATTGGGGGGCTTCTTCTTGGTACATTAGACTATGGTTATTTTGAATATTGCAATGTTAGTTCCACACTAAACACTGTGACACCAAACAATAATAAAATCCAACATTCATTATCGAAGACTGAAAGTTTTACCCCAATGTGTAAATAACAACTGTAAATAAACACAATTTGTTTCTATCAAATTTACTTTACTTTTAAACCTTTAATATACATTTTGTGAAATGTTAAAACAAACTTTAATATCAACCAAAAAGGTACTTTAATATTATTGACGTCAGCTCCGTTCTTTTCAAGCCACATTTGCACTCTCGTCTCTCCCCATCCTGCCATTTTTTTGCAGGCACACATGACAGATGTGACTCAATGATCGATGAAAACTCTTTACAACCTAAAAATATTGAGGAATAGGAAACGACCACTGAGCCCAACAAGCCACAGTCCATTTCAGACAAATATAGAATCATAGAATCTTACAGCACAGAAGGAGGCCATTCAGCCCACCGTGCCTCTGCCAGCTCTTTGAAAGAGCTACCAACTAGTCCCACTCCCCCGTTCTTACCCCGTAGCCCTGATTTTATTTCCTTTCAGGTACATCTCCAATTCCTTCTTTGAACTCTGAGAACTATATATAACTGATTTAACATTAAGAATGAATTCAGCAATAAATTCAGAAACTTGCACTCCACTTCGTAGTCCCATTAATTCAAGTGCTCTCTTCATTTGCTGAACCCATGCTTCAGTCACATCTCATATGTGATCACGTGTATCCTCAGCTGATCCTGACAGGCTGTGTGAGGTCTCCTTTTTGCTCTGAATTGCAGAACATAAGAACATTACAAGCGTATGACAATCTGGCTCACTCCGACCTCTGTGTCAGGAGGTTAGGGGTTCATGCTCCACATCGAGTCTTGGAACCCATGTAGTCTAAGATGACACTCCAATGCAGTGCTGGAGGCATGCTGTATTGTTGGAGGCGCCACTCTTCAGATGAGGTCCCATTTAATGCTCCTCCCGATGTGAAGGGCAAATCTACCATGACGATCCCAGACTGACAGATTACTGCTATCAGGATAGACTGGATAGATCAAGCTTTTCTTCGCTAGAGAAGAGATGTTCAAGAGGAGACTTAATAGAGGTGTTCAAAATTATAAAATGCTTTGATAAGGTTAGCAGATATAGACTGTTCCTACTTGTTGGGAAATCCATAAACAGGGAAAACAAGTATAAGATAGTTACAATGGGATCTAAAAGAAATACATTTTAGAGGAAGCGAGGTAGACACATGAGGAAGAAGGGAATAGAAGTGAGGGAGTAAGGAGTGGATGGATAGTGGAGCATGTGGAGTGCAAACACCAGCATGGACAAGCTGGGCCGAATGGAAATCAATGTAAAGTTTATTTAATATTTAGCTAGTTACCTCATTTCAACTATTCTGTATTTTTTTCTTATCCCATTAAATTTAAAAATGGTGGTGTACTTTCCTGCTGTTTTTCAGCCAATTGAATCACTGGATATTATAGATCATGTTATCCAAAGACCTAGATTAAAAGTGAAGCATTCTGAGCGTAAAGAAGGTGACTTGTATCAATTTATCAACTCGCAAGCGAGAAGACATGGGTTTGATCCCAGCAGGATGAAATGTTGGGCAAGTTTCCTTACTCCACACGTCTCTATTTACCTAGCAGTAAGTAGGAACCCGGTTGTTGGTCAATTGGCGGATCACTTTTCGGGGATAATAATCCATTCAAAAAAATAACCTAATAATAATGTGGTCACTCAATCTACCATTGTTTGTGGGGCACTGCTTTGTGCAATTAGCTGCCACATTTCGCCCAAAAGATACACAGTCACTATACTGTACGGTATATTCTGTGAAGCGCTTTGAGACGTCTCAATGATGTGATAAGGTGTTATATCAAATGCAAGGATTATTATTATTGGTTGGATGAGTGCTAAATGTATCTACCTGGCTCTTAAGGCCCTATGGTTATGTGTCCATGCTCTCCTTCTGCTAGCACTACAACTGGTGGAAGGTGTCTCATTCAAATTTTTGCAGTGCTTTGATGTCCTCTTGACATGAAAAATGTTGTATTGCATTGTATTGTTCAGAGGGATGGGAGAAGTATCAAAACTTCATGAACAGTGTCCATGGAGGTTCTTCTAGAGAGGCACCAAAAAAACATGTTACCGGGTTTGCCTGAGACTGAGGCTGTCTGAGGTCGAGGCTGTTTGAGATCAAGGCTGTCTGAGATCAAGGCTGTCTGAGGTCAAGGCTCTCCAAGACTAAGGCTCTCCAAGACCAAGGTCCTCTGAGGTCAAGGCTGCTGAAATGAGTTGTAACATTTTGCCTCTGAGATCCCTGAACATAGTAGCTTCTGTTAGTGGACATATGCTCATGGCTGTCAGGGAACAATCTAGGGATGTTCCACTGCACTTGTCCCAATGTCCCAGAAACTTTACAGTTCTCACATTTCCAAGTTCATCCCATTTCCAGGAATCTCCAGCCGTGTCTAAGGTGCCCCTGGATAGTAACCCCTGTGACAAGAGTCATAGAATTTGGGTATGATGCTGGTTCACCATGTTTTTTCTATTGCAGCTACCATACTACAGTAATGACATTCCCTCCATTGTAAACTGCAGTGGAGCAGCTTACTACGGAAGAGAGAGACGCCACTTCTCCATGCTTCCCAGTGTCCTGGTCAACATAGTCTCCATGTCAATGAAGTCTTCATGGTGGGCTTGAGATTTGTGCCTATGATTCATATGCTCCAACATCCTATTAATAATAATAATCCTTGCATTTGATATAGGGACTTATCACATCAGTGAAACGTCTCAAAGTGCTTCACAGAATACACTGTAAAGTGAAATTAATGTATTGTTTGTGGGTGAAATGCGGCAGCCAATTGTGCACAGCAGTGTCCCACAAACAGTGGTGGATTGAGTGACCAAATTAATATATCCTTTGAAGGGATTATTACTCTTGGAAAGCGATCCACCAATTGACTAACAACTGGGTTCCTACTTACTGCTAGGTAAACAGAGGCATGAGGAGGAAAGAAACTTTCCTAAGGTTTCGCCCAGTCTGAGAATCGAACCTGGGGAATCTCCTGTTTCTCCCACAAGATACACAGTCATTGCACTTTACAATATATTCCGTGAATCGCCTTGAGACATCTCAACGACGTGATAAGACACCATATCAAATGGAAGCATTATTAGAATATTTGATAAAATATGCAACAAATTTGTTTGACGGGACAACTCTAAAATATGTGCAGAGCTTTTTTTCCTGAAAATCTTTTATTTTGCGGAAAATACATATCTCACAACAATTCAGTCCGTTAAAGTAATGATTTTAGGCTGCACACTATTCTCCTTCAGTGTAGGAAGTAATCTCTTATCTTTGTTGTCTCCATCCAGGGGATGTACGTTATGATTCGGGTAAACACGCTGGGCTTGTTCTCCACTGTGCAACCAATTGGTCCGAAGCTGACAACACCATGCACTTCCCACTTATCTGAATGAATCTGGCAGAGCAAAGGCCCACCTGAATCCCCCTGTAACACATTATATTTTATGTTAAAGTGCATACCCTGTTAGCTATTAATCCCCTAGATTGCAGTGACGTCCACTGTAACTCATCAGAATTTACATTATGCGTCACTCACATTGTAGCGCACAACATCCCTCACATTATAGTGCAACCCTCTGTAACACATCAAACCTTATAATTTATAAATTTGATATAATTCTTGTTTCTGTGTCAGAAGATTGTGAGTTCAAGCCACATGTTGAGTCTTAAACTCACGATCTATCCTGACACTTTACTGCAGTACCGAGGTAGTGCTGCATTGTCAGATGAGATGTTCAATTGATGCCCTGTTCACCTGTTCTTAAGATGGACATTAAAGGTCCCATGAAGTTACTCAGAACGAGAAAGGAGTTTTCCGGTTTTAGCCATTAATCCTGCAGGTAATTATTTCATTTATCAAATGGCTTTTTGGTGGACTTTGTTGTGTGAAGAATGGTTGCCATGTATATGCACAGATACATAATGTAACAAATGCTATATTAACTGCAAAGATTATTATGGTCCCAAACTAGAGAGTGAAACTCCTGTAATGCTGTCATATTCAGTCCAGTAAATTTGCCTGGAAGATTGTCACACACAATACAGTGAGTACCTATAGCACCATCACACACAGACAGTGAATTTGCCGGTACAATAAGGTGAGTTCCCTGTCGCATGATCGCGCACAATACAGTGAGTTAGTTATCTGTTATTTACAGTACAGTATCTGTTATTTACAGCCTGTAATACTGTAATACTGTCACACACAACACAGTGAGTCCCTACACCACAATCCACACAGTACAGTGAGTTATCTACAACTTTGTCACTTAGAATACAGTGAATCCATGTAAGCCTGTCACATACAATAGAGTAAACATCCCTGTAACACTGACACATAGTACAATGAACCCCTATAAACCTGATACACAGAATATCACTAATCCTTGGAATACTCTCACATACAGTATAATGAATCCCTCTGTTATACACTTAACACACAGTACAACGAATCTCCCTGTAACACTATCTTATACAGTACATCAAATCGTCCTTTAACACTGTGCACACATTACAATTAATTAATCTATAACATTCACATAGGGTACAGCGAGTATAGTGACTCCCCTGGAACACTGACACACACAATGAATCCCTGGAATACTCTCATAGACAATAAAGCGAATCCCTGTAAAAGATACAATGTAAATCCCCCTGTAATAATGTCACTGAATTACCCTATAATATTGTCATATGAGGTACAATGACTCCACCGTAACATTGACACACAGTACAGTGACTCCCCCTGTAACACTGACACACAGTGCAGTGCATGCCCCTGTAACATTGACATACACAGTACAGTGACTCCCCCTGTAATACTGTCACACACAATACAGTTAATCCACCAGTCGCACTGTCACACACTTTAGATTGAAACCCTTTGTAAGACTGATACACGCAGTGCAGTGATTCTGTATAACGTGAGACACACATGGTCGTGAATCTTTCAGTAATACTGTCGAATAACGAACAGTGAATCCTCCTGTAATACTGTTATACAGAGTACACAGTGAATCCTTGTAAGTGAGATATGAACAATTCAGGGAATCCTTTGTAACACTGACACCCACTTTAAAGTTAATTGCCCTGGAACACTGACACACACTTTAAGGTTAATTGCTCTCGAACACTGATACACACTTTAAGGTTAATTGCTCTCGAACACTGACACACACTTTAAGGGAATCCCCTTCCAAGACTGACACACACAATACAGTGCAGTATAGTGAATCCCTGCAATACTGGTTTATTCAGTACAGCAAATCCCCTGATACACGCAGTTCAGTGAATTTCTCTATGACACTGTCATGTACAGTACAGTGAGCTCCCCCCTACTTGTAACAAAGAAAGGCAGAGTGGAGTAACACGTCTGTAACACTGACATACACAGTACCGTGAATCCACCTGTAACCTTCACACAAAGTACGGTGAATTGTAATTTGTTTGAAAGGCGCTATCTATATAAAAGCAAGTGGTTGAAACATACAGTACTTTGAATCCCTAGAACACTATTACGTACAGTACAGTGATTCCCTCTGCAACACTATCACACACCGGACATCAAAACCTCCTGTAATACTGCCACACACACAATACATCAAGACACCCTATAATACTGTCACATACAGTGCAGTGATTCCCCCCGTAACACTGTCACATGGGTACAGTGACTCCCCCATAACAGGAAACACACATTAGAGTGAATCCCCCTAAAATACTGTCATACACAGTACAATAAATCCTGTGTAACCCCAAAACAGAGTGCAGTGAATCCCCGTAACATTATCAAGGATGTAAATTGAATCCACCTATTGTTACCCAGAGTACAGTGATGTACCTTCCAACAGTGTAACATACAGTACACTCTGTCACTGTCATACACAATACAGTAAATCCCTCTAACACTGAAGTTAACCTTTCGGATTCAGGGTACCTGAAATCTTGGCCTTTACTGAGGCTGATTGTATTCTAGCGCATGTCCTTTGTAACCTCTAAAACCAGTAACAATGAATAAAACTAAAAAGAAAACTGTAGATTAATGAACATCCGTGTGTGGGGGTTGGTGTGGAGGTTGGTGGAAAGAAGAAATAATAACAAAATAATTTGCTACCAAAAGAAGACCAAGGTCCATCCAGTTCCACCATCCTGGCAGTTGGATGACACACATCGTGTCCCGAACTATATATTGGATCCTGAGATATTATTTACTTAACAGAAATGTATCTAATTTGTTCTGGAAAGGATTGACACTTTCTGCTTCCACCGTCTCCCTAGAGAGCCTGTTCCACATGAGAGGGGGTTATGAAGCCAGATCTGGTCGATTCTTTCACACTTACCTGGCAGGCAGCAGGGTGTCCCTCGGTGTCCTTGAACCCAGCGCAAATCATGGTTTTCCGCACTCGGTCACCCCAGTATTTCTTCAGTTTGCAGGTGTGGTGGTCGATCACCGGCAGCTTGGCTTGGTTCAAAACTTCAGACAGTGTCACATTATCCTTTCGTCCTGGTTGGCATAAATGGAAGCAATGTTACTCTTCCAGTTGGGGAACTGATACCTCATTCAGATTGGGATATGTCCCTGTAGAACATCTATCCTCCCAGGTTAGTTTGGAGGTTATAATGCAGAGTACCCTCTTCCCCATCCAAATCCCAAATGTTTGAATTCTTCTCTTACCTCTGGTGTCTCCCCAGCCTGTGGTCCAGCAGTGATGGCCAGGCTTCAGGACACTGGCTTTTGTGGGCATGCAGGCATATCGGATAAAGTTGGATTGGGGAATATCTGTAGCTGACCTGACCAGAGCAATGTCGTAGTCCAGTTCGTTGAGGGTGGGGTACCGGAAGCGCTCATGCCTGTAAATTCTCTTTACTCGATAGACTTTCTCAGTCTTCTCTGTGCGGTTCAGATTGTGTTTCCCAAGGACAATACGCCAGTTCCCAGTGTCCTCTGCTTTCCCCCTGGAACATACAATGGTTTAAGTCACAAATTAAAAAATGGTTTAAAGAGGAAGTAAACACTCCCTTCAGTCCCCATGGATTGGTCAGTCTGCAGTAGATCACTCACGCTCTCATTGCCCACAGCATCCAGACAAGTAGCATGAAGTTAAATCTACTTGTATCATCAACAGAAATTGGATTGGGGGGTGGGGGGGAAGGGGGGATGCGGGCAGTAGGAACTTATCTTAGCACAGACATATGATTGAACCTGGGACTCTCTTGACCTCTGTGCTATACAGTTCAGGCACCACATTCATCCACATGCAGGAAAAACACCTTTCGTTTACCAAAAAGGAATTAATTTTGAATAAAACATTTTTAGAAAACAGTGGCAGATGCAGTCCATGATGTAATGGCACAATCTTTTGGATGAGATGTTAAACTGCCTTACGTAGAGACGTACTTTTGATCCGCTGACGTATGCGCAGAAGAACTTAATTTCCCGTGATTCAGTGCGATTCCAACGCTTGCCAGTAAGTGTGCACGAGACGATGGTTAAAAAAGACGGATTGAATTGCGGAAAACGTAGTCTTGACTCGTTATCACAGGCGCACTTACCGGCTGCATTGAATTACACATGAGCAGTGTAGACTATTGATTAAATCGGATTTTATATAACTTCCAGTTTGCTTGAAACTCAGACTTCGTGTAAATATGTGTTAAATATGGTGCCGACTGATACGACTTATGTGAGTTTTACTGTATATCTCTTACTTCTGAAAGCAATGCGCCGCAGTCAGAACCCAGTTTTTGTGAACAAGGGTCCCTCCACACACATGGCTGAAGGACCTGCTCCCTCTGGGACGCACCTGTCAAGAGAAAAAAGCCAGTCATCACACACTTGATAGTTCACTTCATGGCTATTTGTTGGACTTTGCTGTGCCCAAGTTGTCCACCAGATTTGTCTACAAACACAGTCACTATACTTCACAGCCATTACCTTGGAAGCTCTTTGCAACATTTTAATATTTTTGGTGCTAAATCAAATGCAAGGATTATTATTGTAATATATAATCAAATATTATTCATTGTTAATACAAATGCTTATTAACTAAATGAATTGTAATTGTTAGGACATATCAATTAAATATAGAATAACAGATTCTTTAGAGGAGTCTATAAATCAGAGTTAAATCGAGAAAGTTGGATGGTTTATCTATCTAATAAAACATCTGTCTGTCTACTTGCGTGCGCTTCAAGAAGGATCTCAATAACGAACTGATTTGATTTGATTTATAACTCATCAGAAAGGTTGCATCTAGGAGTGACATGAGCATATTTGTTTTCGGGTATCTCCTATCGTTCATGATTTATGACCTAAAATGTATTTTGGTTTTGCGTTTTTTGGTGAAGTCACACTTGGTGGCTGCGTCGGCTGACCGTGGCGCTGTGGCATCCTACGTCACAGAGCACGCACGTAGCCAAGCAGTGGTGGAAACAAAATAAAGAACACAGTCGAAGCTAAGCCAAGGGAGCAACAACAACATTACATTTTTAAAGTGCCTTTCACATCGGGAGGACGTCCCGGTGATTATAAATTATACATTTATATTTATCATTATAAAGATGCCTAAACGAAAATCAAACCTTTCAAGGACAAGTAAAAATGCTAGATAAATGAGACACATAAATGAACCTGAAGAACAAAGAATAGCGCAGATGCACTTCAATGCTGAAAGGACTGCAATAGTGCGCCAAAATGAGTTGCCCACTCAAAGAACAGCACGGCCAAAATGAGTCCTCTCACAAAAGTCCTCCTGGATAAAGTATAGATAAAGATGAAATGTCTGTCTGTATGTCAATCTACATACCATATTGGATGCTTTAGTTGCAAGCTTATCCTCAACGGGTACAGCTAATACTGTGTATAGAATAATGGATTAAATGATAGCCTGGAGTGAGTTACAGGGTTGACAACATCATGTTTTTATGTGTGGAATAATTGGCAGCAGGTTGCAGCCCAGAGCCAAATTGAGTGTTCAAATAGTTTGTGTGTGGATTCAGAGGGTTTGAATGGTTTGTGCAGAGAATACTGGATCTCCAGCAGTCAGTTACAGGCTAGAATCTAATTGAGGGGCTCAGCGACGGTCAGATGATTTGTACATAGAAAATGAGTTGTAGTGTTTCATAGTTTAAAGTTAGCTGAGGGAGACAGGATCCCTTAAGAACCACCTATGGATCTCGAAGGTGCACATGTGAGGATGTCACACACGGGCAGGTCAGCCCCAAATGTGATACAATAAAACTCATATAAATCTGAACTGTATAAATCGTATAATCTCCTAAGTCGTACATCTACCCAAGACCCGTTCAAGCGTTTTTATGCTATGCAAATTTGACATAACTCATACTTTGCATAAGTCATATTAAATGTATTACACCCAACTGACACGACTTATATGTGGGGTTTACTGTAGAAGCAAATGTTGAAAAGCAGGAAAATCATCAAAGTTTCTCTCTGCAGTGATCCCAAGGCTGAAAAGTTCTCTCACTCTCACACATTACAGTGGTATCTTTACCTGTAGAGAGACCTGCCAAGGCCATGAATGTGGCCGAGCTTCATTTCCAGATACGATCCTTCCAGCTATATTTGGTGAGAAATGGGAGATTCCACAGTCTCCAGGCCAGTCTGAAACCCAACACATCATACAGCCATCAGTATTTTGTTCCAAGCAATGAAGCCATTGTTTTCTTCCCGAGTCCCTTCCTTCTCTCGATGCTTAAGAATATCCAAATCAGACTGAGAGTTCCAAGTGGATTGACTGTGTATTTTGTGGGCGAAACACTTTCTAAAGGACTGTTTCAGGGCTGTAACATTCTATAATTCTAAAGAGTCTACAAGAGTCACTCCATTTCTTTGCACAAACCTTTCTCATTGTTATGATTAGCTGACCTGAGCACAATAAGCCTGTTAATGATTAGTTGTAATATAAGCATTTTGAACAATGGCGTAATTACTTTGCTGTTTTTCTAAAGTGTGGGTTATGATTAAAGAGGAAGGAAGAAACTTGACATGTGTTACAGCCTGGATTCATCATAAAAGTACACAGTACTACTACACAGAAATAGGTCATTTTGCTCATGAGTTGTGCAGAGTGCCTTTCTCTGCATAAACCAATCTGATTCCACTTTTATGCTCACTCCCATACCCTTTAATACTTCCACCATTCAAGCATCTAATTACCTTTTAAAAGAAATTATTGACCCTCTTCAACTACAATTTGTGGCAGTGAATTCCATATTCCAACCATCCTCTGTGTAAAAAAAATATTCTTTGGAACCTCCCCTTCAATTTTTTTTGTGATTATCTTAATTCCATGTCTAATTATTGACTCATACGTTCAGAATCTTATATTTCTATAGGGTCTTCTACCTCTAGTGAAAAACAATTCTAACTTCTCAAGTCTCACTTCACAACGCTCTTCATTGCGCTAGTTTATTGTTCTCTAAAGCTTAACCTTCATCTACTTCATACTAAAATCACACACATAATACAACCTACATAATACAGCAACAATCCTCCAGATCAGCACGGTCCAACTGGCGGCCCACGGGCCGCATCAGGCCCGATGGATGATTTCAACCAGTCCTCGAACTATTAGGCGCCAGTCAGCAGCAAAATCTGTCAATCACTTTCAAACCAGTAACAGGAGAGAGACACACATAAACAGCAAGAGAGAGAGAGGTACAGAAACAACAACAACAAATTACATATATATAGCGCCTTTCACGTCACGAGGATGTCCCAAGGCGCTGAGACACACGCACTCAGCGATACAGAGAAGCACAGAGAGAGATACAGAGATGCGCACATATTCAGAAAGACACAGAGACAGATATGTTGCTGTCTGTATTATTGTTTTAAAATTTGAATTTTTATATTGCCTTTTACGTCTGCATTGTAACCAAAATATACAGATTTAACTGAAATTATAGGATTTCTAGTATTCCTACGGGTTAGGCTTCTGGAAGGGAAATAAAATTATTGGTTATGCGGCTCAGAGATTTCTCAAATCTGGCATCCAGCCCTCAGCATCCACAAGGTTGGACTACTCTGCTCTAGATAAACTGATCATTCATCTCCTGGTTGGGGACAATTTCTGTGTACAAATCAGTTGCTCTGTCCGCCTACAGATACATAGTTGCTATATATAACATTGATTTCTACAAAACGCTTAGAGATATTTCAAGAACAAAGGCACTATATCAAATCACGGATTATTATTATAACCTAATTCAATATCTCTAACTCAATCACAGAGAAAATTCGAAAGAATTTACAGATTATTTTCTTCCAAAAATCAAACGTCTTCAATGGCTCAGTGGATAAAAACTACAACAACAACTTGCACTTATATAGCACCCCCCCCCCCGCACGCCCACCCCACCCCCCCCACATGAGCACGCAAAAGCAAAGCGATGCTATTGCGATACAGAGCACTGAGATTCCTATTCTGAACATGATCCAGAGATGCCAGCTAGAAAGTGGGCAAAACAGAATCACTTCAGCTGGAATAGACCCCATCCACCCACCACCACCACGGACAAACACTGGCTATTTAAACTTGAAGACCTGTTGAAAGCTGTGGAACCATTCTCCAGCAGGAGTAAGCACCTTTAGAAGAGGAGAAAGAAGGATAAAAATTGACAGGGGTTCCAATCCACTGATAACTTCTACCTACTCATCTATTATTCCCCCTTCTGCCCCCTCATATGTCCTCTGGCGGGTGGGGATCAGGCTCTGAGACACTACCCCGAGTGAAGGAGCTATATAAATAAAAATATAAGAACATACAATTTGCTAGGTGAAAGAAGATCAAGATCTATCCAGTTCACCTTCCACCAACCTGGCAATCACGTGCACATGTCATGTCCCAAACTATATACTGTATCCCAAGGTATTATTACTCTTCAGAAATCTTTCTAATTTGTTCTTGAAAGAATCAATACTTTCTGCTTCCACCATCGCCCTAGCAGGCCTGTTCCATACATTTACTGCTCACTCACTGAAGTAGTTTCCGCAGATTTGTCCTGAATTTACCTCGCTTCAATAAATGCAATAGTTGTTGTTGTGTAAAAAAAGTCTACTTCATCAGCTATTCCTGCAACCCTTTGATTTTCTCATCTCACAAGGCAATGTTGATCCTCTTACCTATGTGTATCAGTTTATGTTGAAAGCCATTGGCAGTGGAGAAGGCATGGTTAAGGGACAGGATGAAGGCAACGAGGGACAGGCTCTTTCGCAGCATCTTCAGCAGCTTCCCATTATGTAATTGCTAACCCTCACTCTCATCGCTCCCTTATTTATACAAGAACCTGGGCATCCAAGCCTGCTCATGTGACTCTGTGCCACTATTGTCCTGGGTTTGACAACATCGTTGCACATCAATAAAAGCCCATGCACAAGAGAGGGGCCAGATGTTTCTGCGTGCTCTGCTCTACTGTGTGGGGAGGCTCGTCAGCCAATCGCAGGGTACATGAACTCAGCCGTTTGTATAGAGAGTTGACTGACCTGACACAAACAGATTGGGCATCAGTTTCCAGAAGGTATTCCTTTGGACAAACTGGGAATCTACTGGGAACAGACATATTTACATTGCACTCTCGATCCCCAAATGACCTGTCCATGGGTTGAGGGGAGTGGGGAAGTAAGAAATTGCTGTGCGCAATTGACTGCCGCGTTCGCCCACAAATATACAGTCAATTCACTTTACAGTATGTTCTGTGAAGCGCTTTGGGACGTCCTCCTAATGTGAAAAGCGCTATATCAAATTCAAGGATTATGATTATAACATTCCAAAATTCTAACCCAATCTATCATGCTGTAGAAAGGGTGGTGTATGCATATGTATATGTGTGCAAATGGGTGTGTACATGCGCTGGTGCGCATAATCATATACATATACGCATGATGGTATGCATGTGTGTACATGTGTGAGATGCAGTTTCTGCTGGTTCAGTTCGAGAAATGTTTGAGGGGAGGGTTCAGTTCTATTACTGGAGTATTTTTGCATCCTCGCCTTGAGGCAGGATTTAGTCCTATAACTGCCGTTGAATCATGCTAGGACATAGTTCCATGGGTGCAGGTTACCTCCAGTACTTCACTCAATCAATCAGCCTTGGCAGTGTGTACTGGCAGATCACTGTTTGTGGGAGGCATCAAGCTGGATCCCATCCAGTCCTTACCCAATATCCACATGTCACAATTCCAGTAGGAGTTGAATAGTGATTAAGACCAGGAATTCTGATAGATTCTGTTCTCTCTTCCCTAACCCAGAAATGCAGAGCTCAATTGAGCTCTCCCACTGCCACTCTGTCTGAGATCAACTAACTCGCAAAGCTTGCCAAGGTTTGAACTTGGACAAGTATGAGCTGATTAAAGAGTCAGCATGGATTTGTGAAGGGTAGGTCATGCCTGACTAATCTAGTTGATTTTTTTGAGCAGGTAACTAGCAGGGTGGATAAAGAAGTGCCTATGGATGTTGTCTATATGGACTTTCAGAAGGCATTTGATAAGATTCCGTAGAAGAGATTATTAGCGGAAATGAATGTACATGGAATTGGAGATAACCTTGTGAGCTGGGTTGGTAATTGGTTTGGGAGATGGTCAACCAACAAGATACATTCTGTTGATTAAATCAAAAAAAAATTTAAAGCACACTAATGATCAAACATAGACTTACCTACACTTGTTTTTGATGTCCCCATAGGCCATAGGTTGTTACCGGTGGTCTAGGAGCTGTGGAGGAGCAAAGAGATTTAGGTGCCCAAGTAGACAAATCACTAAAAGCTAGTGCACAGTTAAGAAAACAATCAAAAAGCCTAATGGGATGTTGTTCTTTATCTCAAGGGGGCTGGAATATAAAAACAAGAAAGTGATGTTTCAATTGTACACAGCCTTGGTCAGACTCCATCTGGAGTATTGCTTTCAGTTTTGGCCACGCACCTCAGGAAAGATATATTGGTCTTAGGGTGCAGCGCAGATTCACCAGAATGACAACTTGGGACGAAAGGGTTAAATTATGAGGATAGGTTGCATAAACTTAGCTTATATTTCCTGAACTTCAAAAGATTGAGGGGTGATCTAATCGAGTTGCTCAAAATGATGAAGGGTAAATACAGAGAAACTATTTCCGCTGGTGGGGGAATCCAGAACAAGGGGAGATCAAACTTAAAATTAGAGCTAAGCTAGTTAGGAGTGAAATCAGGAAGCATTTTTTTCACACAAATAGTTGTGTTAATTTGGAATTCTCTCCCTTAAAAAGCTGTATCAGACTTGAAAGGTGGTGGATCAATTGGAATTTTCAAGACTGAGGTTGATAGATGTTTGTTAGGTAAGGGAATCGAGGGATATGGAGAAAAGGTGAATAACTGGAGTTGAGGTACAGATCAGCTATGATCCAATAGAATGTCAGAAATGGCTCGAGGTTTGAATGGCCTACTTCTGTTCCTATGCAAGGACAGGTAGAAATCTGTGTGTCATTCTAATCACCATTGGTGATCCACAAAGATTTTTCTTGAGGATATGATTGCCAATTCCTAGGCTGTGATATAATAAGGTTGTCCAGTGCAGATAAATAGTTTGAATAGTCTCTATAAATCTGCTATAAATATCTCAATTTATTAATAAAGCTGAACTGCATTTGGGTTACAATCCACTTTACTTCTACTAATCTCGCTGTTAGGCCAGAAATGTTTTGAGTCATATTATATATAGGATCTATTAATCCACTCCAATGTGCTGTGAAATTAAACCATGATTCATGCAGTTTGGCTGATGTCAAGTAATTCAGTGGTGTGAGTTTGCCTTACTCTCAAAAAAACAAACTCTACCACACATTAATACAGAAAATAAAACAGGCAGGAATGTAAACTAGATCAGTAACACCTAGCCCTCAGTCCTCCCTCCCCAGAAACATGTCGAGATAATGTTACCCACTATCAAACTTTGCTCTCAATTCTCATTGAAGATGTTGATTAACATTTTATGAATACACTCCAGGATGTGAATTACGTAGCGTGTACCACACTCCAACCTCTGCATTTTCTTGTATTTAAAAATCCAGGCTGCACTTTGTCCTATGTATAAGGCAAGAAACTTTAGGCAAGTTTTCATACTCCATACGTCTCTGTTTACCTAGCAGTAAGTAGGAACCCATTGTTTGTCGATTGGCAGATTGCTTTCCGGGGGTAATAATCCCTCAAAAAACAATTTGGTCACTCAATCCACGATTATTTGTGGGTCACTACTGAGCGCAATTAGCTGCCGCATTTTGCCCACAAAATACACATTACAATATGTTGTGTGAAGCGCTTTGAGGCGTCTCAATGACATGATAAAGCAAAGATTATTATATTAATAATGTAATATTATGTTTTTTTAAAAATTATATTTTCTGTCCAATTTTCTTTCTTCTTCCTCCTTTCCTTGTTGGGATTTCCGATCCTGAGAGTTTGAAATATGACCCGACAATCCAAAATGGTGCAATAATTCTTTTATTATAAGACAGTGAGCTTAATAGTGTGTAAAGAAGAGCATACTAACGGTTAATTCGCGTAGAACAAAAGTGGAAAAAGATTTCTTGGCTGTCGTCCCACGCTTGTCATGGTTTCGCTGGTGTAAATCCCTCACTTTCCTTCTGCCAGTCAGCCCAACTGACTTCTCTCTCTCTTTACTAATTAACCCCTTTTCTGGACTCTTGCTAGATACCTTCTTCCCTCTCACAACTTGTCCTGCACGTACTCATCCTAATCAATCATTGGCCTGGTGCCAGCTTGACAATTGATAAAGCAAGTCTCCATTGTCTTGTCTACACGTCTACTCCTTATCTTCCTAGGCCTAACACATAATGTTTTGCAGACCTTTCCTCCATGTCTAGCTGGTACCCAAGGTTACAATACCACTTAGCAAAGTGCATCTGGAGAGAGGAGACATAACGGGTACCGTGGTTCCAGCTGTGCCACATTCCGTTAGTAAGAAAGCTAATTTGGCCGACATTTTGACCTGTTAATACAATTAATTAAACATATCTTAAATGAATGGACATAAAAATCTTGTTCTATTCTAAATGATTATAGGGAAATCCCTATATCCCAACAACCTGAAGCCACTGACTTCTGCTGAGGTACACTTCTACGGCTACCATCATTGCTCAGGTGGGCAACCATTGATGCGTGAGGCTAGGAAGTGAATGTTGGCAGGTTATTTAACCAAGAAGGTACTGCAACTGGAGCTGATTCTGCAGAACCCAGTAGCGAACTGGTTAGAGCACTTGCCTTTCAGGCGAAAGGACCCAGGTTCAAATCCCAGGCGGGGCAAAACCTTAGGCACATTTCCTTACTCCACATGACTTCTGTTTACCTCAGAGTAAGTGGGAACCCGGTTGTTAACCAAATGGCAAATCGCTTTCTGGGTAATAAGCCCTTCAAAATAAATAAATAAGAATAATAATTTGGTCACCCCAACTCGATGTGTTTCTGGGGAGAGAAGACTGAGGGCTAGGAATCAGAATGAACCTTGCTGGGATTAACTGCGTTTTCCAATAACTAATAGTCAAATCAGCAGAGATTTTTAATTCATTATTATTTATTCGTGTTCATCAAAATGGACAGTGAAACAAAACACTTCAAAAACACCATCACAGAAGGCAAACTAGGTAACAAAATACTTTAATAAATCTAATACTCTGAAGCAGTCAACTATATCCACAAAAATCATGAGAGGTTCAGATGAAAAACAAATTTGGTCACTCAATCCACGACTGTTTGTTGGACACTGCTGTGAGCAATTGGCTGCTGTGCTTCGCCCACAGAATACACAGTCAATCAACTTTACAGTATATTCTGTGAAGTGATTGAGACGTCTCAACGACATGATAAGGCGCTATATCAAATGCAAGGATTATTATTATTATAATTATTATTGTGTTCCTTTGGTCCATTTGACCTCATCCTTTCAGAATACCAACCCTAGCACCTTTCCATTATAATATAAAGCTGTTTCTTAAATTACTCTGGAGTCTTGGCCTTTAACACCTTTCCTTCTAACCTGTTACAGCTGTTAAGACCATTGATGGAAAGCAGTAGTGGCCAACCTCTTTGACATTATAGTCAGAATGAATTCATTAATGCAGTTTGACCAGCACATGACTTCTAGGGATTTGAACTCATCTGAATTGCATTTTTCTAATTCACACTGTTATGACATGATGAGCAACGAGTTACCTAACATCCCCAGGGCTCAAAGAGCTTCCACCTTGGAAATTTCTACCCCATCCATGTACCTGCTATTTTATTTTCTATAAACAGAAACTTGAATTTATCTGTTTTGAACTACATTTGGCTCTAATCAGCGTCTGCTGATCTTTAATCTATGTAAAGTCTGGTTATATCAGAATACAGTACACTAAGTGCAATCGTAAGCTTCCTGCTTAAAGAAGGTTCAGCTCCACACCCCCCCAGCAGGTGTCTTTGGATAGTGATTTGGATGGTGATTCTCACCCACACTAAATTCTGTACACCCATCACACCAGTCCGTGGCAGGCTGCACTGGTTCCCTATCAAAGAACAAATCGATTTCAAGATCCTTACACTTGTCTACAAATCCTTTCACGCCCTGGTACCTTCTTAATTTTCTGATCTCCTTTCTCCACACTCCACTACCTCCGCTCAACTGGCTCTGGCCTTCTGCTTGTCCCTTGTCCCCATCCGCTCCACTATCGGCAGACTCAATTTCAGCCACTATGCCACAAAGCTTTGAAACTCTCTCCCCCAATCCCTCCATCTTGCTTCCTCCTTCACCTCTTTTAGATCATTACTGAAGACCTTCCTCTTCGACTTTGCTTATGGTCAACCCCTACCTCCCTCCCTCTGGCTGGCATCAGGCTCAGTCTCTGTTAAGCACTCCGAGATGCTGTCCCGCATGAAGGGCGCAATATAAATGCAAGTTGTGATTGCTGATTCAGGAAAGGTAATGTGGTTACATATTACGAATTCTTTTATTCAAGAGAAAGGTCCCACACTGTTACACTATATCAGAGTTTAAATCAAGAAACGTTTTATATTTCAGTGCTTATAACTTCCTTCTAACTTTAATCAATGGAACCTTAAAATGAGGGCAAAAATAGAATTGAATGGTTTTGTGAATACAGTTGACCTGGCATGTTGTGGAACAGTGATGTGATATATACATATACAATTTACTGGAAACAGTAGTTTAGTCTATTGCTGTACTGGAACTCAAGCAGCATCCTGGATGCCTCAGAGTAGACATCACGTTCCTGAAGCCTGGAAGCTGTCTCCTCTTCTCTTTGACCGGCTTTTCTTCGGCGTCAAAGCAAATAGCTAGATTTTTTGACATCTTATCCATTTTGTCTTTTTCATGCTGTTCTATCTGAATCTCCAGGTGTTTCTGTATCGCCATCCCAAGAACCTCAGGGTCTACAGAAGCCCCATAAACCTCCCATGTCATCCCTTCATTGTCCCACTTCACTTCTCGGACAGGGGACATTTGACCTGATTGATTCTCTTTGAGACTAATCTCTGGGAACATGTGGACCAAGTAGCCATGAGTAGGTGACATGGGACTGGTGGCTACAGACTTGTACTCAAATCCAAATGAGGTCTGCATTTCAGCATCTTTTTGCTTCAGCTCATGATGAAAGCAACTTATGGACGTCATAGTACACATGTCTCGTGTTCTCACACCCATGTTTGCATTTTGCTTATTCTCTGCCAAAGGCTGAGAATCTTTTTCCAATAACAGCGCTGTTAGGTGTTGTGGAGAGTTGTGCATCATTTTACTCTCAGTGAGGAAAGCTTCATTTCCTTGGGATCCAGGGCATCTTAGATGTTTGGTATCTAAGCCTGAATCACTCACAGATGTCACCAATCTTGGGAATGTCAATATACCTGACACAGGATGGCAGCAAGCACCAACCACATTTCCTCTTCCTGATTCGCTGACAGAACTAACTAGTCGTGGAAAGAGATGGATAGATGAGATTGGTGAATGGCAATAGCCAGAATCAGTGTCATCTATTCTCAGGCCTGGAATGAGGTGGCCATGGTCTAATTGGCTTTGGAATCCAGCACAATTGTGATTCCCAATTAAGTTGTCTTGCTGGGTGGCAGTAACCTCTCTGTACGCACATTGCCCTGATTGATGCCAGTTCTTTCATTCCTCATCATTCTATTATCCTGACAACATCTACCAGATTCCTGGACAAACATGGCACCTGGGTAGTTTGGAGAGCTCTCCATAAACATCAAATTACTTTGGTGCATGGGACTACACTTATCATTGACCAAGCTGTTCGCCTGATGGTTAACAGCAGTAGTATTAGGGTTAGGGTTCACCTGCTCTGGAAACCCAATGCCAGTTTCACTTCTTGAAACATTAATGATAAACCCTTGACTGTGGTCCTTGTTATCTGGAGAAATGGCACCACACCCTCTTCCGGGCATGACTTGACTCGTGGCATTTGTCTGGCTGTGCACAATACTGCCTTGCAAACAGCTTTCCTTGTGACCACAGGTAATATCAGAACAGCTCCTGTGCACGAACCTGACCTGTACCTTTCCCAATTTTGGGTCCTCGAAGAAAACAGGATCTGCATCACGTCTCATGGCTACATTGGCATTGATGTTAATATTGCTGTGCACATTTATATTATCATTAAAACTTGGGAAGTGGGAGATACTGTGAGCGGCTATGCTCAAATCAGGCATGTTCATCATTCGTGAACAGCCACACAGGTTCATCATAGTGGAATTATCCTGTGACATGAGACAGGAGGGTTGATGGGAATACCTCAGGCCAGTTTCCCTTGTGACTCTTGGAGAAGTGGGTCTGCTGTGAGTTCTCCTGAGATCGGGGTTCACCATCTGATTCTCATCCATACTGCCCCTTCTTTTGCACAAGGTATCAGAGGAGCTTTTGGATAGAGCAAAGTGGTTTGGTTCCAGACTGCTGTGGCAGATTGTGCTTGTGGATTCTTGGAATGAACGATCGGATAATCTTTGACTGTAGCTGGCCATAGCGGAGGGACAATCTGTGACAACAAGTATTAGTAACATCAGTAAAAGGAACAAATTCAACACAAGAGACATATGTTCTGGATAAGTACTGACCAGTATGCAGTTCTTAAGTTTCTGCTGCCCTAGGCAAAAACTTGTCTGATTGCCATAGAAATAAATTTCAATTTAACTTCAGTTTCCAAGTAATTGAGAGCTGCAAAAAGCACCCAAAATTAGAGTGAAAGAGGTTATCACAGTCTAACTCTGTATTATCCTTCACCAAAAAAAAATAATAATAATTTGGTCATGACTGTTTGTGGGACACTGCTCTGCCCAATTGGCTGCCACGTTTCGTCCACAAAATATAGTCAATTCACTTTACAGTATAGAGAGACGTCTAGATAAGACACTATATCAAATGCAAGGATTACTGTAATATTTAATACTCTGTTTTACACTAATACTTTTATTAGATACATAAAGAACACTAAATATTTCTCAGTGAGATACATATAGAATAATGAATACCTCTCGGTGAGAATCACAGTGAATGATAAATACCTCTCAGTGGGTTACACAAAGAACATTGAATACCTCTTAGTGAGATACATACACAATACTGAATATCTCTTAGTGAGAATAATAATAATCCTTGCAGTTGATAGAACAACTAATCACATTGTCGAGACGTAAATATACTGTAAAGTGGATTGACTTTGTATTTGGTGGGTGAAATGCCAGCATCCAGTTTTGCACACAGCAATGTCTCACAAACAGCCATGGAGTGAGTGACCAATTTTATTTGGCGGATTGTTGGCCAGGACACTGGGAGAAATCCCTACTCTTTTGAATAGTGCCATGGACTCTTGGAACTACCTATGTACTATGCCCCATAATGTTATTTCTGAAAACTATTTAATCTGTGTTTGAAAGAATCAACATTTCCTGCTTCAACCGTCTCCCTTGGGAGACTGTTCCACAGGTTTACTATTCGCTCACTGAAATAGTGTTTGCGCAGATTCTTTCTGAATTTAACCCCCTTCAATCGCAGGTCATGTCCTCCGATTCTACTATTCTGGACAAGTTGAAACAGCCTGTCATGATCTATATTGTCATGACCCTTTAGAATCTTAAGGACAACAATTATGTCATCTCTCAATCTTTTCTGGGTGATCAGGGTGTGATTGTCTCTCCTCTCATTGTATTTTCTCTATGCTTTCTCATTCATCCCTCCCTTTTCCTTCAGTCACTCTTTCCTACGAGTCTCTCTCTCTCTCTCTCCATTCGGAGAGAACACAATCAGTATGTGAGAGATACAATCAGCCTGAGAAAGCCACAATCAGAATGAGAGACAAGCAAATATAATCAGAATGAGAGAAGCTAAAACGACAGAGTACAATCAAATGGTAGAACAGGCAAAGGTTTGAGCAGGAGAGTATCAGGGCGTGAGAACCGAGAGAGCTTTCTCGGGGGTGGAGAGAACAGAATGATGACGGGTTGTTTCACCCACAAATATTCAGTCATTTACTTTACAGTGAAGCACTTTGAGACGTTTAGAAGATGTGAAAAGCGCTATATTAAATGCAAGGATTATTATTATTATGGTTGAAGACGTAGAACCAGAGGAAGAGCAACTGGTGCCAAATGGAAATGTTGATGGCTGGAGGCAGCAGTATTGCAGGGGTAGAACGTGGGTTCGGGGACAGGATCAAAGGCTCTGATGCATATCAGTGATCAAAGATTCAGCTTTTTAGATGCTGAGCATAGCACCTTACATTGCTGAAATGTAGCCTCCATTCCTTGACATAATCCAGGCCAGCAAGACTTTCTGCCTCGCGCACCGCACCGCACTGAGTTAGCCTGGGGTTTCCGCTTTTATCTGGGCACAACCATGAAAAGGATGTAATACCTTCCGATCAAGTCAAGACGTATTCTACTATGGAAGAGGAGAAGAGCGGAGAAGGCTAAATATGGCCCTGAGATTTCTCTGTGTAAAAGCAACAAGCCTGACTGCTAGCATCCACCTGTTTGTTTTAATCAAATATACACCTCGCATCAGAACAAAAGAGGTTATTCTCATAATTATTCTGCATATGTTTCAAGGATGGGGACTGGGTCAGGGAGACCCATAAAGTCTGGGGTCATCGACAAACTATCAGCAAGATCAGAACACAACAGAAAATAATGAAATGATCAGTAATTCCACAGCAGTCACACACACACACACACACAGTACTGCATTATCTCGAGTGAAATACCTTTAAAATCCTCCCCCCACCACCTCTCCTTCGACAAGCAAGAGCACTCACCTTTTGCAAACCAGAGAGATTCTCCAGTGGCTTAAGCCTCTTGTCACTGCCCCTGTGTATTTGGCGATTTCTGCTGTTTGCTCAGGGTCCCAGTAACACACACATTGTACAAGCACAGCACCAGAGGCAGCTAGACCACAGCCCTTGCTTTCCCCACAGCCGACAAGGTGCAGACGCAATGGAGGAAGTGAGCAGATAATCTTTGTTTCATCTGATTAAGGAGGATGGTGGATGCTCCTCTCCTAATCCTGCGCTGCCTGTCTGGCGAAGCTCCATGCAGCCAGTCGGCATGCGTTAATGGGCTCCCTTTTCAGTTCACTGACAGATTACAAGCAAACAGTGATTCATGCTGTCTGACCCCAATGCCTCCTCCCCCACCCTTCCTCCCTCCCTCTCTCTCTCTCTATATATATATGTATCTCTCCTACCTATATCTCTCATGTTGCTCTCTCTGTGTAGTTCCAGCTCCCTGGCCTTGTCTATTTCTCTGTATATATAGTATATCTCTAGATTGACTTTCTGCATACCTGTTCCTTTTCCTCTCTGTACAGTTCTGAATACCTTTATCTTTGCTTTACCGAATCTCGTCTATCTCGCTGTCCTCTGCATATTTCTGTCTCACTCTCTCGCTGTTCCACTTGTCAGCAATTGACACTGCCTGACTCTCCTCTCACTGTTTCTGCCTCCCTGAATTTTGTCTCGATTTCCCTGTCCCTGCATGTTTCTGTCTTACCGTCTCTGCATCTTTCTTTCTCTGTTTTACATTCTGCATATTTGTCTGTATCCTGCAAATCTCTCTATTTCTCACAGTACCACTGTCTGTGTGGGGTTATTTGTCAGTAACTTGGCTACCTGCAGAATACCTTCTCCCTGTCTTTGTGCCACTGCAGTTTCTTCTCTCCCTGCTGTATGTAGTCTGCTGTCATGGTAATGGGAATGCCAGCAGGATTCCCCACATTTCTGCTGTTTCCTCTCTGCTGTGCGGCGGAGGATGGAGGAGAAAAGAAAAGGGTACATGTTTGTGAACAACTGCGGCTAATTATTTATCTTGAAATGGCTGCTGTTGGTATGTTGGACACTTGAGAGCTCACCATCAGGAATACTCTTACACTCTCTGACCATCCCGTTTAAATCCTTGCTATTGGACTATTAATTCAATGCGTAGAGTGCAATAGTATAGTGGTTAGAGCACTCGCCTTGCAAGCGAAAGGACTCAAGTTCAATTTCCGGGCAGGGAGAAATCTTAGTCAAATTTCCTTACTCCACACACCTCTGTTTACCTAGTAGTAAGTAGGAACCCGGTTATTAGTCGATTGGTGGATCGCTTTCCGGGAGTAATAATCACTCCAAAACAAAATATGGTTAGTCACTCAATCCACACCGTGGGACCCTGCTGTGAATACTTGGCTACCAGGTTTCACCCACAAAATACACAACCAATCCACTTTACAATATATTCTGTGTAGCGCTTTGAGGCGTCTCAACAAATGCAAGGATGATTATTATAATTATTATAGATTACACATACAAGCCAGACAGCTTTATAAAAACGATTTCTTTGCAAATTGTTCCCCTCCTGAGGAAGTTCTACTGGGGTAGTTCCATTGATGCTTTTGGGGACATATCTTGCTCAAGCGGCTATTGTTAATGTTTGAGCCTTGACAAGTATTAGGATCACGACGCTGTGTGTGTGTGTGTGTGTGTGTGTGTGGAGGTGGGGGGGGGGGGGGCGGGGGAGGGTGGTGTCATCTACACATCTGCAGGGTGGGGCCATCCACACATCTGCACATCCCAGCAGAAAGTGTCTGGTCAGGTGCCATGTCCTGAATCCAGTGAGTAGCTAGAATCCTGGCCACTTGTGGTACCCTGACTGAGATCAGCTAACTGGATAGGCTGCAAACCAAACCTACTTTGCCAAGGTTCAGATGCTAACTCTGTAAACTCAATGAGCCATTGTTAGAAACTCTGACCATAGCTGAGATCTAGCCAGCGAACAATAGCTGTTGTATTTAATATAAGGCCTTTCACGTCACAAGAACATCTCAAAGCTCTTCACTGAACATACTGTAAAGTGCAGTGACTGTATTTTATAGCCAATTTGCGCACAGCAATGTCTCACCCACAGCCATGATGAGAGTGAAGAGCAGCACAATAGAACAGTCCATACTGTTTTTCAACACCACCCCCAACAGGTGTAACATTGATTCCATCCAAGATCCTCCTCAGAAACAAAGAGGAGAGAAATCGGACTCAAAGTGAGCTCAGACTCAGGAGTGAGCTCAGACCACTGAAGAGTGTCCAGTGAGCAGTTGTGCCTGGAGGCTGTTCTGTCTCAGTTTGCAGACAATTTCTGCAGGAAAAGGCTGTTGGAGCTGATCTCCAAACAGACTCTGGTCTCCTATGTTCTGATCTTACAGATCACTCATGATTCAGGAGAACAATAAGCACAATGTACCGGGCGTGCCATTACAACATGCGATCATGTTGTTTGAGAGGGATGTTATATCATGGATCCGCAGATTATAGATTCAAATAAATACTAGGTTGATTTCCAGCCAATTACAAGAGGGACATATTTACTAGGAGAGACATCATTGAATACAATTAAAATGCAACAGTTGTCTTTCAGAAGGTAGCTAGACTCACCAAGCCCACACACGCCTCCTCCTTCCTTCATCCTGAGTGTGCTGAAATTAAAACTCATCGAATCGTCTCTTGCTCCGACTTACAATTATTCAGATCCTTAATACACTAACATTCCTTCCCTCCCTCAGTACTATTCTATTCTTTATTCATATCTTCCCTTGATCTTCCCACAGATTGTTACTCAGTGGGTTGAATGCCATCCCCGTGGTTCTATGTTATGGAGTAGTTGGGAAATGAGCCTTTGTCCTTTGACAGTACAGAATAAAAGTGTTCAGAGAATCTGAATACTGTGTTGTTAATACTCTTCTCGTCTGACCTCCACACAGACAAATATCCAGCAAGGCACCACGGGATTGTGATCAGAAACTCAGTGGCCCAAAACAAATTGTAAAGCTTCAAAATATTTCAATGTCAATCAACTTAATGAAAATGTCACAAATGTTATTAAAACTGGATATATTATCAGCCGTGTTGTCAGCCTGAATGATTAATGACTACATTTACCACATAACAGGGCTGCAGAGTCCTGACCTCCAGGCTGGTGCAGCTGCCAGGTCAAACAACACATCCACATTCAAGGCCATCAAGTGGGAAATGTCGCTCAGCATCAAAGGAGAAACACTGAGAAATCCTCAGGCTTTTGGCTGGGGCGAGAGTGATTTCCCCCTCCTGGACCTCATCTGCTTGAAGGATGTTTACAGAAAGTAGCAGCCTTGATGGATATCATGGTTTATTCATTCTATTTACCACTTGTTGAGACATCCTTGGGACATCCTCCTGACATGAAAGGTGCGATATAAATGTAATTTTGTTGCTGTATTAATCTTGTGAGCAGAGAAATTACAGATGAACTTATTTTGTAATTAATAACTAATGAAAATTATTTCTTATTTCATTAAATAACCAATCCTTTTATTAGTTGTTAAATGCATAATGAACTGCCCTGTGATCCCTCAGTACTGTGGCTTTACATATGGTTTGCAAATGGTGCTTAATAGACCTCACTGTCAAGGCTCACATATTAATACTGGTCACTTGGGTGCCGCACTGGAGGGTGCTTAACACCTTTGGGCTGACCCCAATTAAAGTGAAACAGAGTCAAAGTCCTTTATGAGGAAGGGCAAAATAGAGGGAAGAAACAGTAAATTAAAGCTGTAAAAAAAGAGCCACCCTTGAGTGTGTTGGCCAGTCCTGCATTAAGTACCTTCATAATGTGTACAATGGAGATAAATAAGATAGATCTCCTGTCACTGTTCCCTCCCTTCTAGTACAGAGCTCCACGTCAGGAGCTGCAAGGTAACAGCTTTCATTAAGAGCACAGAGCCAGAGCAGTAGGACTGTGCGAGTGTACCATTCACTCACGCCCACGCCACACCAAGTTCCAACCCCAGCGCAGGCTGAGGGAGCTCAGCAGAGACTGGACACAGTGCAGTTCCCATGGGAAAGACTGAAGGAGCTGCAGCTGGGGGCTGGCTCTGTGTCTAAGTCCAGCGCACACGACCGAGATCCCAGGATCCAGTCCCTAGGCAACTCAAACCCATCAAACCAAGGGAGTGAGTGAAAGATATGTGGAATAAACCCAGACATTACTGCTGATGATAACTGCCACATTCCCATAAGAATATTATTCAAGAACCTGCAAAGTTATTGCTGAGGGAGTGAGCAATGCATTAATCCCTGAGGTATCCATGTCTGGTAAGTTTTTTTTAGAGCCTGTTATTTGCTTTACCATGGAATGCATGGAGTCATTTATTCTTAAGGATAATTTACTCTGTTTTAAAATGACAAACTTGACCAGTGTCTGTGATTCATTGTGTCTTTATCTTTGATTTTACTGGAACAAAATGAAGAGTAATAATAATTCTTGCATTGATACAGTGCCTTGAATATTGAAGTATCTCAAATTGCTTCTCAGGTAATTATTATCAAGTGAAGTGACTGTAAAGAAAGATATGGGAAGACTATCGATTCTGTGTGGTCAGAGATTTTCCTTCTCACAGCCTGTATCTGATTTAATAATAATAATCTTTGCATTTGATATAACGCTTTATCACTTCATCATGACGTCTCAAAGTGCCTCACAAGATATCCTGTAAAGTGTTGTGACTGTATTTTTGTGGACAAAATGCTGCAGCCAATTTGCACAGAGCAATGTCTCACAAACAGCCATGGAGTGAGGAGCAATTTTATTTGGGGGATTGTTGGCCAGGACACTGGCAGAGAGAATTTCCCTTATCCTTTCGAAAAGTGCTATGGGATCTTTAACATCCACACGAACAGGCAGGCAGAATCTCAATTACCGTCTCATCTAAAGGATTTACAGGAGTGAGCTTCGGGACTGTGTATATTTTTTGTGTGGGTTGGGTGTGTGTGGGGGTGAATTTTTACACTAAGAGTAAAATGAATGTGATGTGACTAGTTTTAATTGCATTTACCACCCCTATGACATTCACCCACTTTACAATCCACTTTACAATATATCCCGTGAGGTGCTTTGAGACATCTTGACAACGTGATATGGCGCAATACCAACGACAATGATTATATTTTACTTTATTATTATAATATTCACTTAGGAAAAGCTGCAAAGGATTAGCTGTTTCAATTTACTAGAAGCATCTTAATAATAATAACCCTTGCATTTGATATAGCACCTTATCACGTCGTTGAGACATCTCAAAGCGTTTCACCGAATATACTGTAAAGTGGGTTGACTGTGTATTTTGTGGGCGAAATAGCTTGATTACCTATTATAAAGGCATAACTATTGTTATGTTATGTTATACTTCTCTTTGACTGAGCCTTCAGCTCCCCTCTCGACTCTCTTCCCCCTCCTCGCTCCCTCCCTTCCCTCCCCTCACCCTGACCATTTCCCCCCTGCTCGGGTCATGACCCAACTGTGCAGCGCCTTGGGACGTCCTCCTGACGTGAAAGGCGCTTTATAAATGGAATCTTGTTGTTCTTGTTGTTGTTACAAGTTAGACCCCAGTGAGTGTTGGCAATGCTACTGTGGAGTGGAGTGAAGAATCATAACTGAAGTAGATTCTATCCTCATCACTGCATGAATTGCAACCACACATGAGTTACTGCACTGAGAGAGCGCGCAGAAGGAAAAATAGCAAAGTGAAAATTAGAGAAGTTAATTGATATCAGCAGCAGGCGGTGATCACATGAACAAAGTCCTCTACCCTTCCAGTCCTCCACCCCCACTGATCCCAACCCCCATCTGGGGTCCAACTTTCTTGATTGAATATTTATTGATTTATGCCATATATTAAGAAATATATTCAATCAAGAAAAGACTGAAAACACACTACCAATCAAACTCGGACTTACCTAGACAAGTCACTGTCCCATAAACATCTCTCACTTCTCAGGAAATCCGAGTCAAATACCAGTAACTTATTAGCCAACATTCCTGTGGCACATTGTCCTGTATTTAAAGGTCAATGTGTCCCAGACTGGAAGCTGGCTCCTGTTGTTTTAAAATTTGTTGCTTTTAAGCAGTGGTGGAAATACAGTATTCAAACCCACTCAGTTTACGGAGGAGGCGATGGGTGGGGTTTAGTGAATGCGATTGTATCTGGTGACACAACAAGAGTAATTATTCAGTGAATTGGAATAGTTGCATTGGGTGGGGAATTGAAATCATCAATCTTCAAAAGCAGTCACAAATCTATTCATTTGGGAGTGACACTGATTCGTGCGGGCAGGTCACTGTTCTGGACACAGGGGCACTTGTCAGGAGGGCGGGTCACTTATCGGGAGGGGATCACTGATTGAGAGCACTAAATCAAACGCAAAGATTATTAGATTATTATATATTATTGTGAGGAGAGCAAAAATTGTAACAGAATCACTAAAAAGTTACCAGAATTGTATCCACTGTTAAATTCCTTTGTATGTTATATCAATCATATGTCTGTACATTATCTATGAATTGGATGTGTGCTCCGTGTTAACATTCCTTTTTATCATGATCTTTCAGTAAAGCCTGCTGCCGTGGTGGGAGGTCTGGTGGGGGGAATCCTTTTTCTCCTCTTGGTTGGGGCAGCTGCATACTTCCTCAAGAGGAGATGCTTTGCTGGTGCTTATGAAGAACTGGGCTCTACTCATTCCCCAGTATGTAATGACTCCACTAATGGTAGCAGTCAACTCGATGCTCCGCTCTCACCTGCCTCCATCCATTCTTCAGCCCAAAGGTAGGTAATCATTCAGCTGGTGGACGTAAAAGATCCCATGGCACTATTCAAAAAGAGAAGGGAGTTTCTCCCAGTGTCCTGGCCATCAAGACATCAAATAAAATTGTTGAAACCGTCTCAAAGTGCTTCACTCCATGGCTGTTTGTGGGACATAGCTGTGCGCAACTGGCTGCTGTGTTTTGCTCACAAAATCTTAGTGACTCCCCTTAAGGAATATCCTGTGAAGCGCTTTGAGACGTTTTGACAACGTGATAAGGCGCTATATCAAATCCAAGGATTATAATTGTAATTGAGATTGGTTCTACGGCAGGATTGTGTAACAACATAGAACTATTCCTATTTCTTCACCAATGGTAATCTCACTCCAGGTGACTTGATATCGAACACTGGTGCAATATCTTCTTTCAGACTGTGGATGAAGCACCTTAGAGTTTCCTTATCCACACACCTCTGTTTACTTAGCAGTAAGTAGGAACCCAGTTGTTAGTCGATGGTGGATCACTTTCCGGAGTAATAATCCCTCAAAAAAAAATTTGATCACTCAATCCACGACTGTTTGTGGGACACGCTGGGCGCAATTGGCTGCCACATTCCGTCCTCATAATAGACAGTCAATCTATTTTAAAATATATTCTGTGAAGCGCTTTGTGACGGTTTCAACAATGTGATAAGGCACTGTATCAAATGCAAGGATTATTATTAGTAGTAGTATTGTGCACATAACTTGAAAGGTACTAAGACAAATAACTTTAACTGGTTACGAACCTGCACATTGCTACAGATTAAAATTTACTATTTGAATAGAAATGTTCTACTTCCAGCCCTGGTCCACAGTGGTAATAATAATAATAATAATCCTTGCATTTGATATAGCGCTTTTCACGTCGGGAGGACGTCCCAAAGCGCTTCACAGAACACACTGTAAAATGAATTGACTGTATATTTGTGGGCGAACGTGGAAGCCAATTGTGCACAGAAATGTCCCACAAACAGTCGTAGATTGAAAATGACCAATTTATTATTGTTTTTTTGGTTTTGGAGGGAATATTATTAGGCGTGTGGAGTAAGGAAACTTGCCCAAGGTTTCGCCCTGCCTGGAATTGAACTCAGGTCACTCGCTTGCATAGCGATTGCTCTAACCACTGAGCTACAGAACTCCACAAGCGCTCAGCTCCACTGAGCTACAGGTAACTCCTAGGCTATGCGATCAGGAACACATCTGATGTGTAAGTCTCTTCCTTTATACCTGCATTAATGCTTCTCTGTCTAGGACCAACAGTATCCCGTTCATCGTGCCACCAAAGTTCCATGGCCGGGAGTGGATTCACCTGGACAATGAGGACCAAGGCCACAGTGCAGCCACAGGAGCTGAGTATCTGCATCATTCAATGATCGAGACCATGGGTAGGATTCTGGGAAATTGAAACAAAATAAACCCAAGAAGTAAAAATAAAATTCTACTTTTATTTATGTTCTCCATTCCATTAAGCTCCATTGCCCATATTAATTAGATCCCTGGATTGTTATTTGATAGAATCATAAAAATATCAGCACATTAGGCCATTTGATTCATCACGTCTATGCCCTGAGTCATCCTGGCTCAGTTGAGAACACTCTCAATTCTGGATCTTACATGTGGGATGAAAACCTCACAAAAGTGCTGGATGAACAGTGTGAGGGAGGTTTACTCTGATTCTAACCCATGCTGTGGCTAACCTTGGAGGGTGGATGGACAGTGTAGAGGAAACTTTACTCTTTCTCTAAGAAGAGGAAGGGGAATGGCAATCGGAAGGGAAGGAATTGGTGCTTCAAATGAACCACAATTACCTCATTATCCACCTCGGTTTGAGGTGACAGGGCAGCCACAGGTGCTCAGTATCTGTGCCACTCAATAGCCGAGACTATGGATAGGATTCTGGAAAATTGAAACACAAAGTAAATGCGAGAAGTAGAAATAATTATCTACTTTTATTTCCAGTCCACGTTCTTACATCCTGCCTCACTGATGTCCTTGACATGTGAAGGATTTTGAGACATTTCAACATGGTAAAGCACTATATAAATGGACCTTCTCTTACTCTAGGGAAGAATCAGGCAGGATTGAATTCCTCATTAATGTCTCAATCCCTTGTCTATCTGATGACCTGACACTTTTCAGTAGTAATCAATACTCAAAGAGAGGTATGGATGAAGGAAGCCTTTCAGTCCACTTCTCATTCTTGTAGAATACCCATCCTTCTATTGTATTTCCGCAGAACAAGCTGTTTCTTAAATTAGTCAAAATTCCTAGCCCCATCATCCAGCAATTAATTGTACCTTGATGTAAGGACATCACCATTAGGTGCAATGAGTATAATAGGTGGAATGGCCTTTTCTTACTCCATACTCTCTAATTTCCTTAACCTCTGCCAGTAATTCCTCAGCAATCTTGTGTATTTTTGATGTAAAGCAGGAGAATGCACTGTGGGAGCCATCAATCCTGATTTATACAAGTTACCAGAGGATGACAGTGAGATAGAATTTCCAGAGGGAAACATTGGCAGGCTGTGGTTTGCTTTGCACTATGAACAGGAAACAGAACGGCTTCTGGTTACAATAATCAAAGCGAGGAACCTCTGTACGCAGTCCGACACCTCCAACCCTTTCGTAAAAATTTATCTTCTTCCCGACGAGAGGCGTCATCTTCAGACCAAAGGCAAACACAAAAACAACAACCCACAGTTCAACGAGAGCTTCCTTTTCCAGGTCAGTAACAAACAGACCAAAGGCATACACACCATGAGACCCTGAGATACACTGTGAGACTCTGTCATTTACCCTGAACAACTAAGATATACTGTGAGAGACATTGAGTCCCTAAGTTTCCATAGCATGGAGTCCTGTAGTGTATTGGTTAGCGCGTTCGCCTTTCAAGCGAGAGGATCTGCGTTCAATTCCCAGTCGGGTCAGGGTAAAACCTTAGGCAAATTTCCTTACTCCACACACCTCTGTTTACCTAGCATAAGTAGGAACCCGGTTGTTAGTCGATTGATGGATCGCTTTCACAAATGTTTGTGGGAAACTGCTGTGCGCAAATGGCTGCCACGTTTCATTCACAAAATACACAGTCAAGCCACTTTCCAATATATTCTGTGAAGTGCTTTGAGCCGTCTGAACGATGTGATAAGGCTCTGTATCAAATGCAATGATTATTATTATTTTTATTACTACTACAGTCTGGGACCCTAAAATACAGATACACCAGAACAATCAAAGGAATTGGAAATGTATTAACAATCTGAATAATCTAACATTGCCAAAATAAGATGTTAATTGTGTTCTGATAGGTTTCAAGCAAAACTCTAAGTGAAAGAATTTTGAAGTTATCGATCTATGACATTGACAGACAGAAGAAGCACCGTCACATTGGGCACATCACCTTCCCATTCAAACACTATTCCTTCGGAGAAGAAATGAAAATCGTATTGTGGAGAGATTTGGAAACGGAGGATTCAAAGGTGAGATTGTGTAGCACTGAAGACACTAAACAATTTAGGTCTGATATGCACTTTTACAGGAGAATATTACATACTAATGTGACCTTTAACATTGGCATAGCTGTCTTTTTAAAGTTGAATACCCTTATGTAGAAATTATGTTGTATGATTTCTATCAGTGATATAGCATAAATATGTACTAAATCAGAAATAACATACAGTATTACTGAAAATAATAATAATAAACCTTGCATTTGGTATAGCGCAGCATCACATCGGGAAGATGTCTCAAAGCGCTTCACAGCATTTACTGTGAAGTGGAGTGACTGTACAAGATGGACCTTGGTTTAATATCTCATCTGACAATGTTTCAAGGGCTGCTTTATGCTGGACCTGAGCATTGGAGGATTGCCAATTTCCAAATGTTGCCAATATGAAAAAAACCCAGAGAACAAAACAGATGACCAAAGGTGGATGATGATTTGTTCCCCAGCAATTTTGCAAACCCTATTGGCTGTCAAATGTTGTTATTTTCTGAACGAGCAAGACTCAAACCATGGTCCATTGCATACCAACTGGTAATACTTCTCGAGATTTAGTTACTTGATTACAATTGGATTTCTCCTAATTACTTTGTGATTTTATTTTGCCTTTTGCTTCTATAGGTCCCCTCAGAGTATGGAGACCTTCAGTTCTCTCTTAGTTACAATGACTATCTGGGCCGATTGACGGTAGTTGTTTTGAGAGCAAAAGACTTAAAATTGCAGGAGGAAGGAGAAAACTCAAGTAAGTAATCCTTACATTTGGAATAGCATCTTTCACGTCAGAAGGATGTCCCAAAGAGCTTCACAGGATATACTGTAAAGTGCAGCAATCGGCATTTAGCACACGCACCAGCTCCGGGTTGCACTTCCTGACATGAAGAGCTGGCATCTTGAAGCTAGTGCTTAACAGAATACAATATAATTAATTGATATGACATATAGGTATCCTTACAAAATCAAATCAGGAAAAATATTAACATCAATAGATACAGTATGCAATACAGGACGCTGACAGGAAGGAGTTACTAAGCCCAAAAGTGCAAAGGAACTGAATTAACATTAGTAGATAAGAATGTTCACTATGGTACTCCACCAAGTTAAACCTCTGTTGGGATTTACAAACAGGCTTAAAATTTCTAAATGCAATTAAATTCCTTCTGCTGGTCTAACCAGATCCTTTAAATTGGAAAATTAACAAGAAGCAGGAAATCATCCCTGCTTCACAGAGATCATTTGATTTGTAAAACATGCTCATATTTTGAAGCGTAAAAGGGTTTCAAAACTGAAAGCATTGAAAAATGTTCGGAGTTCTCTATCATAAAAGTGAATAACACAAGGTTTGTTCCATTGGGATTCTATGAAATGGGAATGAATTGAAAAGGTTTGATCCCTAGAAATTCCACATAGTGAGAGGGCTTTGGTAAAGTGAAGTTACATGCTTAGATTCAATACACATTTATCTGGGGTGAGATGTATTAGAAAATATTGAAAAATAACCCACACTATTTGATGTAGGGAGTAACAACATTTCAGAGCTATTGCAGCTGAACCTGACTAGATACTGAGAGACAATGATCTGAGTGCAAAACATTTCTGACCTGGTTTTAAATGAGTTTAAACTTGCTGTTCTGTTTAATTAAAACACTGCTGGATATTGTGGCTCTCTCGAATGTCCCACTCGTGTGAGGGGCAGGTCCTCGCTTTCATCTCAGCGTCAACTGAATGGCTACAAAACAAATGCCAATTTTCTCTGTTCTTCTAAAGCCAACCACTTAAACGATACATTTAATTGATACTAAGTTCAATCAAATGCATTTGCTGTGTGAACTGTTTAAAACAGAATATATTAATACTGATGTAGTTGCCTCAAGTGCAGTTAAAAAGTTCAAACTGTTTCACTCTACATGATACCCCAGAGATATTTAAAATGAAGCTACCACAAAAAAGGTGGAGACTTCCTTCGGAAAATAATAGTCAAAACATGACATCACAAAACAATGTTACATAAATAACACTCTTTTTAATCACAGTTTAAATTAATGTTCCATGATTCGATTCCACAATAGAAGATAGAAAAAAATAAGTTGCCTTTTTATAGCACCTTATACATGAAAACGTTTTGAATAATCAATTTATCTGGGGGATTTTGCCAAGAATACCAGTGGAAATTCCTTTTTCTTTTCAGATACACTGGTATCTTTAACATGCTTTCCTTAGTGTTGCACTGGAGTGTCAGTGTAGATGTTTAAGCTCAAGCCCTGACATGGGACTTGAACCCACAAACTTTTGATCCTGAGGTGAGAATGATACCAACTAAGCCAGGCTGACAACTAAAGGTTTAACAGTAGTGTCATCCTCAAGTATTCCTTTAAGTAATCAAAATTTGTGTATATTTTACTGTGTAACTTTCTCAATTTATTGGTGACTTGAATGACCAAAGGTAACACCTCCAATAAGATAAAATGCTGTCAGATCTCCTTCAGTGGAAAGAAAATGAACCGCACCTCATCAACCTAACGTTATTCTACATTAATCAGCTTGGATCAGTTATATTGGATAGGTAATATTCCCTTGGATTGAATAGGATTGGAACCACTGGGTTACAAAAAGCATTTCAACAACTCAGTCCATCTTTACACTTTGTTTTCTACTATATATCGAACTAAATCTTCTTTAAAAGTTAAGGAATCAGCAATAGCCAGTGCTGTTTAGTTAACTGTGTACCATGCCTTTAACATCAGAATATCAATAAACTCCACTTAGGACATAGAACTATTGGTTTCCTTTTTATCAAAAAAAACCCTACAGTGTTCTTAAAATACTGTTGTGTAGTGTTGTGAAACCAAAAGTAACACCAGCACCTTCAGAGCCTTTCTAGCAATATCTAATATCTCATAGTCGGACTGTTTTCCCCTCTCCCTCCGTCTGTTTTTTCCTCTGGATTAAAGCTGGGACCTTCCTGATTAGTTTGGCTCAGTTCTACATACATCATGCACTAAGTCAACTTATCCTTCCCTGAAAGATTAAGGCTCAAGACAGACTATTACTCAAATTAGCTTTTTATGCATTTCATTACATTCTGCATGTCAAGATCCTCACTCGTCTACAAATCTCTTCGTGCCCTGGCATCTCCCTACCTCTCTGACCTGCTTATCCCCACTCCACCACCTGCCACCTCCGCTCAGCTGGCTCTAATCTGCTGCTCATTCCTCATCCCCTTTGCTTCACAATCGGCAGCCATGCTTTCAGCCACCAGCACCAAAACTCTGGAATCCTTTCCCTCAATCCCCTCGCCTTACCACCTTCCCTCTTTTAGATCACAACTAAAAACCTTCCCTTTTGACCGTGCTTACTGTCACCTTCCCCCAGCTCGATGTCAAGCTCGGCCTCAGTTAAGTACTCCGAGATGCTAACCCGTGTGAGGAGGGCTTATAAATGCAAGTTGTTGTTAAACAAGCCAAATTTGTTTTTCTTTGAAACCCACAGATGCTTACGTTAAGGTCTCGCTGATGAACCATAACAAATTCCTAAAGAGTAAAAAGACAGGTGCTGTTGTGGGCACCTCCAGCCCGGTCTTCAATAAGACATTCAGCTTCAAAGTTGACCAGCTGGAGCTGGACACGGCCAGTCTGAGTCTATCTGTGCACCAGAACATAGAAGAGAAAGGTGAGTGTCCAAAACTCCGTATCATGTGACATGCGATAAGTTACTGTACACAATCAATGCTATACTTCCCTTATCATATAAGACTATATAATACTACTATTTTCTACAAATTTAATCGAAAACTGTGTTACTTTGTGTGCTGCTGAATAGGAGGTCACATTATTGTTCAGCAACAGTTCATTTTGGTTTGGGCGAGACACCTCCATTCTTAGACTTTCTTCTGAGATCTTCGCCCTTCAAAGTCTTACCCTTTTAAGATTTTTTTCTATATTCATATTATTAATAATAATAATCCTTGCATTTGACATAGCACCTTATCAGGTCATTGAAACATATCAAAGCGCTTTACAGAAAATATTGTAAAGTGGATTAACTGTATATTTTGTGGGCGAAACATGGCAGACAATTGCGCACAACTGTGTCCCACAAACAATCGTGGAATGAGTAATCACATTTTATTTTTTGGAGGGATTATTATCCCCGGAAAGTGGAACTGGGTTTCTACTCACAGCCAGGTAAACAGAGTTATGCGGAATAAGGAAACCTGCCTACTATTTTGCCCTGTTCAGGAATTGAACCCTGGTCCTATCGCTTGCAAGACGAGCGCGTAAGATATTACAGCATCTTAAACATGTCTAATATCCTGGCCTCAAATCCTCCCCCTGGTAACTCATGCCCTCTGTATAAAGAAATACTTCCTGGTTACTGGCCTAAACTCTCTCACAACTCTGAACCTGTGCTTTCTTGTCCTGTTGCCTTGTTGTATCTGAAAATGTTTTTTTTAAAAATATATAAACAGTTGTTTCTTTCTCCAGCAGGAAGCTGGTTGGTTGGTCGGGTAGTGGTGGGTCCGTTTATGTACACACGTGGCAAGGAACTTGAGCACTGGAACCAGATGATTAACAAACCCAAAGAGCTGGTAAAGGAGTGGCATGTGCTCAGCCAAGGGTCGTAGCAAATGCCGCAAAGGACTCAGTTGCACAGATTAAATTGGACATTTCTTGTTATTTGTAGCATACTTATCACAGGACTCTGGCCATCAAAAACATGCAAACACCATCCCAGTGTAAAGAAAGGAGAATGGGAGGGCTGAGGAAATAACAACATATCCTGGGCCTGATTACACTACATTGGAACTATTATATCTGTTGTATTTGTTGACCATGTAAACAGAAGTGTGTTTCCTGGAATAGACTGGAGTCAACAGCAGGATTGTGTGTAAAATAAAAATGGTATATTGCTGGAGGAATAAAAGAAAAATGAAGGATACTAGAAATCTGAAACAATATCAGAAATCTGCAGAAGATTTGCAATGAACATGTGAAAGAGACAGATGGCTTAAGACAGTGGCTGTCTGAACTGGATTTCTGAAAATGTTAACTGATTATTTTCTTTCAGATGCACTAACTCACATTGATGTAGCACCTTTCACATTCAATCAATGTTTAGTAGGTGGTGTAATTTTAAAAGCTGGAGCAGATTTGAATGGCATTTATTGCTGAGAACCATAATTCTCCCCCCAGCCCCACCAATCCATGCTGTAGGATGGGCACTGTGTGTTGCTGTAATGCTACTGTATCTGTATCCTGCACTAACCACCCCCCCCAGTCTCATACCTGCAAATCTACTTTGTGACTAAAGTGGGATTCCATTACCATCTGTTTGTTTGGATCTGTACCAAATTTTCTTTTTTTTACCACAAACGGTAGTGTATATTTTTTCACCTTCCTACAGCTCTCAGAATGAACCTTCAAGAATGAGGTTGATAGATTTTTGGGAGTTCAGGATATTAAGGTATATGGGAAGAAAGTGAAAAATTGGAATTGAAAGGATTAGTTGAGGTACAGATCAGCCATGATCTAATTAAATGGCGGAACAGGCTTGAAGGGCTGAATCACTTACTCCTGTTCCTATGCTCCTATTAACCCACACACTGGTAATTGGGAGTCAAACGATTACGCACATCAGCATTTTGGGGCTCAGGAAGCTCCTTATTGCTCCGAGATGAGTATGAAGCACCTGCATCTAACTGTCTAACATTAATTGTTAGGCATTAACTACTGTCCTCCTGAGCAGTGCTCCAGCTCCTAGGGATACCTTCCCGACTTGAAAGGCACAATAAAAATGTAAATTTGTACTTGTATGTATTGTAGTTCTGGATACAGATGATTAGAACAAAGCCCTTATAGATCCCTTTAAAAGCCAAAGGAAGAGAACCGTAATAATCTGAACTTTCTCCTAACATAGCACCATGTGTTTTACACTGTTTGACTCCCAGTTCCTGGTATACTGAGAGCAGCAGGAAGCTGAAAAGAGTTTGTGTTAAGAAAATTCTGTTGAGAATTTGGGAGGGGGAGATATAATAATTCTTGGATTTGTTTGTCATTGAAACATCTCAAAGGGCTTCACAAGATTTACTGTAAAGTTTCGTGACTGTGTATTTGACTTGAGATCTTTTATGTCCACCTGAACAGATAGATGAGGCCTCAGCTTAATATCTCATCTGAAGGTTGGCAATGCTGCACACCCCAGCATTACAATGGAATGTTAACCCTAGACTAAAAGTGTTCACCTCTAAAATACAGCAAGCGACCAAACAATGTTTTCAAAAGAAAAAATACCCCTTAATGTTCATGAACTTACATTGTATTACTGTGCACTGTTGCACACAACACATGTATGCGATACTCTCATCTGGAATCATATGTATCATTGACCTTGAAATGCCTGTTCAGTCCTGTGACCTGAAATCTTTTTCTTGTAATGGAAAAGAGAATGATGTGAACAATTACTTGTACAATATATTAAACATAATCATCAAAGCTTTGTTGTACTGTTCAATTGCAATAAGAACATTGGGGAGCATTGAACAAGACAACACAGTCAGGCCATCAAGCCTGGTCCCTTTACAGTTAATACTTGATAATGGGCTCCACAATACATTTGTTTAATGCAAGTGATGAGGCAACAAAAGACAAAAAAAAGGTTTAATCTAAAAATGATTTAAAAAAAACATTCCGGGTTCTGTTTGTGTAGTGGAGAAGTGTTGTCAATATCTGCCTGTCCTTTCCCTGACAGAGAAAATAAAATGGCATTAAAGCCTGGTGCTGTAAACTCTCTTGTTGGTTCAGTGAGCGAATAGACTGGTGTGATGCTGAGTCTATATATATATTACGAACACTGCAGGTTTGATCTTGGCATGTGCTGTTCCATCTTGTTAATATATGGGCTCTATGGGAGAACTAAAGATGTATGCACTATTAACATACCAAACGCCAAATAGATGAGAATTACTGCCACTTAGAATCAAAGAATCATACAGCACAGAAAGAGGCCATTCGGCCCATCGCATCTGCGCTAGCTCCAAAAAGAGCAATCTAACTCAATCCCACTGGCCTGCTTTCCCTCCGTAGCCATGCAATCCTGTCCTCCCCAAATACCCATCTATTTCTCTCTTAAAAGTTGTTATTGAATCGGCTTCCACTACCCTTTCAGGTAATGCATTCCAGTTCTTTGATGTTCTCTTACATCAATGCTCTGCAAGGGAATTGGAGGATGAAAATTTGGAAGTTTGAATAAGCTGTCTTGAAGTTATGCAGCCATTGTATCCTTTCCCTCATAGCTGAACAAACAGAAGACCATGATTTTCCTGATTATCCATCAGTAATAATGAAAAAAAAATGGTAAATGTGGTCAACAGCATCTTATAATTAGCACCAACTCTGCTGTTTTAAATACACAAGGGAGTGACTTGCTACATCAATGTCACCCCTTGCATATTACCCCAATCCTGTCATCATCTGATGTTCATACTTTTTTTTTCCCGGTCAGCATGTCTGATACACGGGGAACCCGTCACCATGTTGAAGAGAATCCAAACCAAACTGAGAATTCCATGCCTCCCAACTACACATTGAAATACCAGATATAGATTTGCACAGCTTCCAGTGGGAGGGAAGGGGGTGGAGAAAGTATCTGAATAGCAATGAGGAGCAGAAACCCTGATTAATTTTCCCCTCTCAATCTCAGGGGTTGCTGAATTCAATTGTTAACCAAATGTTGCCCTGGTTGACAGCCAATAACTCAGTAAAGACCTGTGATCTTCTACTTGTATGGCAGAGTGCTCCCGAATTGCAAAGACTTCAATTAGAAGAGAATAATATCATCTGTAAACAATCAGCAGAATCAAAAATCTTAATTTACATGCTGTAAAATTAAGAATTTCTCTTCAGTGAGATATTTGCACTGTGCTTATAGCTTTAATAGGGATGTTAAGCTAGTGGCTGGTACAGAAGATATTTATTTGAAAAGTGATTTAATATTTTCAATGATAGGGTAGGTCATGACACATTAGCACCAAGCCTGGGTACACTGTGAACTCATAGTTTAGCCTGGCATTCCATTCTAATTCAGCAGTAGAGCTCTATCCTTTAGATGACACATTAAAACAAGCTTCCATTTATTTGTTCAGTGATGTTAGATATCTCATTATAAAAAGAGAATGGAGTTTCTTCCAGTGCCCTGGGCAGCAATCCTCCAGACATCTAAGCTTCTACTCTAATGGTCAGTAACAAAGACTTCAAGTAGATAGTAGCTTTCTAGTAGTGGCTACTGGCACAAATGTCAGAACAAAAATGTGGTCATTCGTTCCACGACTGTTTGTGGGACACTGCTGTGTGCAATTGGCTGCCGTGTTTCTCCCACAAAATATATGGTCAATCCACTTTACAGTGTGTTCTGTGAAGCGCTTTGGGACGTCCGCCCGATGTGAAAAGCGCTATATCAAATGCAAGGATTATTATTATTATTATCGCATCTGCGCTAGCTCCTAAAAGAGCAATCTAACTCAATCCCACTGGCCGGCTTTCCCTCCGTAGCCATGCAATCCTGTCCTCCTCTAATACCCATCTATTTCTCTCTTAGAAGTTGAAATTGAATCGGCTTCCACTACCCTTTCAGGTAATGCATTCCAGTTCTTTGATGTTCTCTTACATCAATGCTCTGCAAGGGAATTGGAGGATGAAAATTTGGAAGTTTGAATAAGCTGTCTTGAAGTTATGCAGCCATTGTATCCTTTCCCTCATAGCTGAACAAACAGAAGACCATGATTTTCCTGATTATCCATCAGTAATAATGAAAAAAAATGGTAAATCTGGTCAACAGCATCTTATAATTAGCACCAACTCTGCTGTTTTAAATACACAAGGGAGTGACTTGCTACATCAATGTCACCCCTTGCATGTTACCCCAATCCTGTCATCATCTGATGTTCATACTTTTTTTTTCCCCGGTCAGCATGTCTAACACACGGGGAAACCCATCACCATGTTGAAGAGAAGCCAAACCAAACTGAGAATTCCATGCCTCCCAACTACACATTGAAATACCAGATATAGATTTGCACAGCTTCCAGGGGAGGGAAGGGGGTGGAGAAGGTATCTAAATAGCAATGAGGAGCAGAAACCCTGATTAATTTTCCCCTCTCAATCTCAGGGGTTGCTGAATTCAATTGTTAACCAAATGTTGCCCTGGTTGACAGCCAATAACTCAGTAAAGACCTGTGATCTTCTCCTTGTATGGCAGAGTGCTCCCGAATTGCAAAGACTTCAATTAGAAGAGAATAATATCATCTGTAAACAATCAGCAGAATCAAAAATCTTATTTTACATGCTGTAAAATTAAGAATTTCTCTTCAGTGAGATATTTGCACTGTGCTTATAGCTTTAATAGGGATTTTAAGCTTCAAGTAGATAGTAGCTTTCTAGTAGTGGCTACTGGCACAAATGCCAGAACAAAAATGTGGTCATTCGTTCCACGACTGTTTGTGGGACACTGCTGAGTGCATTTGGCTGCCGTGTTTCTCCCACAAAATATATGGTCAATTCGCTTTACAGTGTGTTCTGTGAAGCGCTTTGGGACGTCCGCCCAACGTGAAAAGCGCTATATCAAATGCAAGGATTATTATTATTATTATTATCGCATCTGCGCTAGCTCCTAAAAGAGCAATCTAACTCAATCCCACTGGCCGGCTTTCCCTCCGTAGCCATGCAATCCTGTCCTCCCCAAATACCCATCTACTTCTCTCTTAGAAGTTGAAATTGAATCGGCTTCCACTACCCTTTCAGGTAATGCATTCCAGTTCTTTGATGTTCTCTTACATCAATGCTCTGCAAGGGAATTGGAGGATGAAAATTTGGAAGTTTGAATAAGCTGTCTTGAAGTTATGCAGCCATTGTATCCTTTCCCTCATAGCTGAACAAACAGAAGACCATGATTTTCCTGATTATCCATCAGTAATAATGAAAAAAAATGGTAAATCTGGTCAACAGCATCTTATAATTAGCACCAACTCTGCTGTTTTAAATACACAAGGGAGTGACTTGCTACATCAATGTCACCCCTTGCATATTACCCCAATCCTGTCATCATCTGATGTTCATACTTTTTTTTTCCCGGTCAGCATGTCTGATACACGGGGAAACCCGTCACCATGTTGAAGAGAATCCAAACCAAACTGAGAATTCCATGCCTCCCAACTACACATTGAAATACCAGATATAGATTTGCACAGCTTCCAGTGGGAGGGAAGGGGGTGGAGAAGGTATCTGAATAGCAATGAGGAGCAGAAACCCTGATTAATTTTCCCCTCTCAATCTCAGGGGTTGCTGAATTCAATTGTTAACCAAATGTTGCCCTGGTTGACAGCCAATAACTCAGTAAAGACCTGTGATCTTCTACTTGCATGGCAGAGTGCTCCCGAATTGCAAAGACTTCAATTAGAAGAGAATAATATCATCTGTAAACAATCAGCAGAATCAAAAATCTAATTTTACATGCTGTAAAAT